CTCTCTCTCTCTCTCTCTACTTCTCTCTCTCCTTCTCGTTCTCTCCCTCTCGATCTCTTCCTCCTCTCTCTCTCTCTCTCTCTCTCTCTCTCTCTACTTCTCTCTCTCCTTCTCGTTCTCTCCCCTCTCGATCTCTTCCTCCTCTCTCTCTCTCTCTCTCTCTCTCTCTCTCTCTCTACCCTTCTCTCTCTTTCTCTATCTTATAGTATACTTCAAAAAGAGTTAATTTCCCTACCGAAACCATTCTGATATCAAGGAAACCTGAAGATAGGCAGCAGGAAAAACTCATCCTAAAAACACTTTCTCCCCCGAAATGCGGAGAAAACACTTCTTTAGCGACAAATTCGAACTTCATCTTTTGTTTATTTTAAAAGGAAATCCAATTTGAATATCCACAAAGAGCCAATTGCGAATCGAAGCCCTTTCCACAAAGAAATGAAAGAAGTATGAAAACGAAATTTGCAATAAATTGGATGCAATTCTGCTAAAAACTCTATTGAAATTGAAACAGTTGCAATTCTATTTGAAATAATTGCATTTCGACCCCAAATGGGCGTTGGGGCAAAACAAAGGCTTGACCCAAGCTACGGCTCCCGATTTCTAATTCGCAAAAGGCAAAATCCCCACAAAACTTTATTATAATAAACAATTTACGAGGCAAAAGGCAGCTTAAGTTGCGCAACTTGCAGCAACAACAATGGGGGAGGGAAACAAAGCTGCTCTAAATCGGGTATACGCGACTAGCAAATACCCATACAGAGAGCTCTGGTGAATAAATGTGGGCTAAGGCGCAATTTTGTAGCTTAAGGTTATTCATATTTCTGTTCTTATCAGACATGAGCTGAACAGGATTTAAAGAGCTCTATGTTTTACGTACTCTATGTTTCGATATGCTTAAGTATAAGTCAAATGTAGAATCAGGCGTGCCTAACTCATATGTCGAATATATAACTAAAATTTTATATCAATATTTATCCATTTCCAGGAAAAGTAGATTGATTATTTCGAAATAAACGAGATATATGCCTTGCTTCATTCAAATTTTCAAATCAGCTGTTGCTTCTGATCCCAAACCTATATGAAAATCATATATTCCCAGTTACCCCATCCACTTCAACTTTCCGTCAATTTCAACAGAGCGAATATACCTCATTTATGCACACTTTCAGAAATGGGGAAAAGGTAAAAGCCAAACAGCAACGAGCTAAGGGCGAGTCCACAGTGAGCCACAGCAGGAGGTAAATATGGCTTGGGCCCAGGCTTCGCTCTGGTTGATTGAATAACTTCTGTGTGTGTCTCTTTCAAATGCGATTGCATTCTTGGCCAACTTGGAGGCATACAAAAATGTATCAATGATAAATGGAGGTTGTGACTTAGTTGCGAATTGCGAAAAGTTATTCATTGATAAGGGCAATAGAATAGGTAGAACAGAGTAGTAAAAAGTGAAACTTAGGGAAGTAGAATGGGAGCTTAAGGAAATTTAATGTAAATGAATCGTAAATTTAAAAAGTGAAACTTAGGGAAGTAGAATGGGAGCTTAAAGAAATACATATAATGTAAATGAATCGTAAATGTCAAACAAGCTGTCTCAGATTGAAATTGAGTTCGAAGATATACATTCCTTATAAATATACATCTTGAATCCTGACTAGCTAAGCACCAAGGGATTTATTCTATATAGCTTATTCAAAACACAATCCACTTCATTTTACAATCAATTCATTTCGATTCATTTATTCTATATATATTGGTTTATTGACCCAATATTACGGTTCTTTTCCACCTATCCGTCCATCTACAGACTTACTAGAGCTCTAAAATTTCGAATATGTTGTATACTCGTCGACAACTCAGGATCAAAAAGATATGGCGCATATATCTACGGTAAAGCTGCATCTAAAAACTTAGTATTTAACAACTAATTTCACATTGACCTCTCATATTTATTCCCCAAGAAAGGTACATATATATGTATATACTATATACAGCAGAATCCGGTTATAGCGATTCCGCTTATAACGTCTGTATCGTTATAGCGATGAAAATTCTGGTCCCCGAACAAACTTTTATGAGCAAGCATATACGGTCATAGCGCCTTCCGGATATGACAACGGTCTCTTGAGTGTCGTTATAGCCGGATTCTACTGTATGTATATATATATATATATATATATATATATACAGTAAAATCCGGCTATAGTGTACGTTCAGGCATTGCGACGAGAGTTCAATGTCTTCCCTGGTGCCCACAAGATGAGACAGATGTTACCATATATGATTATAGCATTTTCCGAATATTACGACACTAAATATTGAGTTCATTAAGCGACGCTATAGCTAGAGTCTACTGTACTTTATTTATATAATTAGTATAAAAACTCAAAGTCTTAAGCAAAATATAAGCAATGTGGCTATACCACATTGATATTTACTAACTGCAACTAGACATAGACCCATTATATACCCTCGTAACTGTCCGCTAACTGATTAAAGCCGACTTTGGCCAAAATGAAAAATGATCTATGCTAATAAAGACGCGCTTATGACTTGAAAAGAAATCAAAAAGAAATGTACATTTTTCATAGCATACTTTTTGGGGCGGCTGCAGGTAAATAGGGGGAGTGGCATTATCGTTTGGTTAGCGAGGTTCGAGTTGGTGCATTTTAGTAACTACTTAAGCTGCCAACGTAGATTCCAATGCCATTTGTCTTGGCCTGGCTGCTGCTGCTGCTGCTGCTGCTCCTATGGCATTTTTACGCTGGCTGAGAAATCAAATTGACAGCGACAGGTGGGCGGGCGTCTCAGGTAAAAGTTGTCAGACACGTCTGCGGCAGGCACTTTGGCATGATTAGTGTCTGGCAGGTCGGACAAGACAGCTGCAGCTCAGGTGAGACAGGTGCTATGTCAACCGTGTGCCGCCGAGCACATAAATCTAAGCGCAGATGAAGCTGCTAATGTGACGCAGCCGCGCTGGATCAGAAACTTGTGAACTCTGCCAGCTTGCGCGCTTCCCACCTGTAATTGAAGGGGAAGCAACAATTTTGTTGCTTTATTTATTTATGGCACGAAAAATGTCTTGATGAAGGTGCAAATGTTGCACATGTAGCGGGCAGTCTGGGAGGGTGGCCGGCGGGCGGGGCGTGGCGTGGCTTGGCGTGGCTGTCGGACAGCTGACAGACCTCGTTTGCCACGAGACGAAACACAAGTTTTACAGAGAGCGAAAACCGCAGCACTTCAAAAACATTTCGTCTAACAAATGGATGTCTGTCAGTCGAGTCGAGTCGAGTCGAGTCGAGGCCGGGCCCTGGGATTTGGGAGTAGCCAGCAGGGCTGTCAATACGGGCCAGCGTCTGTCTGTCAGTCTGTCTGACCGTCTGCCACTGCAGCGAGTCGCTTAAAATTTTGATGAGATTAGCACGGAGCAAGCCGCATTCAGTGGGTCTTGGTGGGTCTAAGTGGGTCTAAGAGGAACTGTCGACTTGCTTGAGTTTTTATTGACACTGCCAGGTTTTTGATTTTCCTTATGGAGCTGTCAGTTTTTCCGCTTTTCATTTTTTCCCCCAAGTAACTAAATCTATTTCGAATGCATTCGCGGAGGAACGTTATCGATAGAGAAAGCAATTTAGAATGTAGAACAGAATCATATTCCTTTTTATCTCTCCCTTCTCACCACCTGACTCTGCTAACTGCCTCTCTATATATGCTTATCTCTCTCTCTCTCTGCTGTCCTTTTCCTCTCTCTATCTCTATTGCTGTTTCTCTCTCTCTCTTTCACTTCACTTTCTCTCAGTTATTTCTTTATAGCAGCCTTCACTCAGAAAGCAAGGGAGCGGAGCCTCTCTTTTCTCTCCCTCTCTCTCTCTCTCTCTCTCTCTCTCATCTTCGTCTCTCCACTACTATCTCTATCGTTTTCCTTTCTCTCTTCTCTCCATTCTCCTGCTTCTGCCTGTCTACGTCTTTCACTTTCTGCAACCATTCTCCAGCGTTGCTCTCTTTCCTCTTCTTTCCATTTTTCGCTGCCTATCTCTATCTTTTTCAGTTTCCATCACTCTCTCTCTCTCTCTCTCTCTCTCTTTTCTGTCCCTCTCTCTCTCTCATTTTCTCACTCTCCTTAACTCTATCCCTTTTCCCACATCACTCTATCTCTCGCTCTCTAACTATAGCTCTCTGTCTCTTTTTCCACTTCAGAGTCTCTCCCTCCCTCCTACCTCCCGGCCCTCTTCGCTACTCACTAAAGTCATTGCCCAAAAACGTATTTAACTTGATTATCAGCTGTGGCACATCGCACACCCTATTTACCTATCTCATCCCACCCTCCCCCTCCCTCTCCCCCTTCCCGCACTTGCCCTATTCCGACTGACAGACACCTTCAGCCAAATGGCCGCCAGGATCTCGCAGGACTTGAGGGGCAAAATCAAATTCGACGCTCAATTAAAATTCAATTTGTTGCGCGCCATTAATTAGATTCCCATCCCTCCGGCCGAAACTTTCGGCTGAACAAGTTTCAGCAGACAGCGCCACCTGTGACAGATGCCTCCTCCCGCACGGAGCCGCAGTCAGAGCCAGCCAGGCCCCCAGGCTCCCAGGCCCCCAGACTCCCCCAGGTCTCTCAACATAATGCAATTTTTCTTGGAGCTGCTTCATTGAACTGCAGCTGGCCAACTGTGCGGGGGGAGGAGAGCTCTCTAATTAGAGATAAGGCTGGGCGGGGCTTCAGGGTTGGGTCAGCTCTTCGACACTTCAATTAGTTGTAATCTATGCGCATAAAATTGCCAGCTAGATGGATGGCTCGCAGCGGCAGCATGCAACATGTGGCAAGGTAAGTCCAACAAATACGCATAAATTACGCCCAGCGGGAGATTTTGTCTGTTCCGCTTTCGCTTTCGCATTCGCTTTCTGTTTCTCTTTCTCATTTTTGTTGTTGTTCGATTTTGTTTTGTCGTTCTCCAATTGTTTAGACCGGACTAGTTCATTGGCCTCTTGCACACAACTGTACTCACCTGCTTCTGCAACGTGTTGGAGAGCTCCTCGAGGCACTCCTTGCGCTCGAAGCGCTCAAACTTGAAGCTGTTCGAGCGATAGAGCTCATTGTCCTCACGTCGACGATTGCGGCACAGCCGTCGTGTTATTATATTTCCACTTCCACTCAAGCGAGGCCTAGCCAAATAGAATAGAATAGAGCAGCGATAAGTTTGATTGAGAGCTCATCGGTTATTGTTATCAAAACTCAAAGGGTTAACCGCAAGAGCCCATCGTTTCCTCAGCTATTGTGCGTGAACTTTTGTCGAGCTTCGAGTAGTTTTCATTATCGAACGATATATTTTTTTAAGTTTAACAATTCCAATGTGTTATTGAGCGACACTAAACTCAAATGTTGTTTGACGACCTTAAAAAGCTTTTCGTTCCTGTGCCCTTTCATCTTTACTAGGTTTATGTGACCGTCCGTCTAACACTCCGTCCGGCTTCCCAAGTCTTATCTAGCCTCCGTTTGTCTTTCCATCCGTTCCTCCTTTTGTCAATATCATTTTTAATAGTTAGCTAAATTTAATCTGTTTCTTATTCGTTTTTGAGGTATTCCTGTTTGAACCTGAGTTCCTGCTCAACTTTTAAAATAGCCCCAATTTCCGGTTTCATACAACTTAGAAACAATAAAATAAATTTGAATGGAACTAGAACTTTTTCAGCCCCAAGTACTATCATCATTCATACATTCAATTACATTGAACTAGTTCGCTTTCAACTATAATTTGTCAGTTTTGTAACATATCGTTGCTTTGGCTATTGATAAGTGAGGTTGCTAAATAGATCTAGTTCATTAACAACTCAAGCAATAAATCTTCCAAAACTTTTCTTCTCCGAACTAGCTCTTTTTTTAAATAGCTCTAAACTCTAACTGAATAATCTTTCCTTAACCTAGTGTTCTATAGTGAACTAGTTTTCTGTATCGAACTCATTCTTAAGCTAAATGGAACTAGTTTCATAGAAAAAAATTTTACTCAAGAGAACCCAGCTTTACCTATTCGATTCCTTAGCCCAATTTTCTTTTGGGTTCCATTTCAAGTTGAACTTGTGCCGACTTCTGTTGCATTTCTTGACGTAAGTAACTAGGAATGCCTGCAAAACGTTTGTAGCCTCAATATCCACCTCTGCACCTCTCTTATACCTTGCACCGTATTTAATTATCGTATACCCAAAGTTTTTAGCTTTGAGCTAGTTTGTTTATTTTTCCTTCGAGAAGGAGGCGAAGGTAGGTAGTTAGTCCCTAGCTCTGTGTCATACCATTAACTCTGTTGCTGTAGCTGTTGCTTGTCAGCAGAGGCCTGAAGCAGCCCCCAGCCCCTACCTTCTACCTCCTGCGACTTTCAGTTTTGGTAAAAAAAAAAAAAGGCTTTTGGGGCTAACAGCAGCTGGCAAAGAAGCTCGTTAGGCCGGGCGCTTCATTAAAATTTGACACATTTGGGACGGAGGCCGTGTTGAAAACGAAAAACAAAAATATATAGAAATGAGTTGGAGGTGGAGCTGGAAGTGGAGGTTGAGTTAGAGGTGGAGGTGGAGGTGGAGCTGGAGGTGGCTTGTCGACCTGGTGTTGGGTTAAAGCCGCAGCATTTAAAGTTGGCTAACACGGGAAATGTCGTCGACCCAGTTTTTCACTTGCATTTGGGTTCATTCAACGAAATGACCCCGCCCACCTACATCCTGCCCCTGGCCCCGGCCCCTCGCAGCCACAACCTCACCCCTCGCAACACTTCAATGAAGCCAACTAACCGACTGTGCGACTCACTCGACTCCAGACTGGGCAAACTCGAGCATGCAATAATGATCGACTAGGAGTTACCCCCTGACCGAAAAAAAAACTATTTGCATTACGCTTTACTCAGCTGTCGGACAGATGATAGACCTACGGTTACCCTGTAGCTAGCTGTGCATTGAAATGGATGACAAGCAAAGCCAACTATAACCAAGTCATGTTGAGAATGCTTTCCTGTACTTGAGCCCAGCTTAAGTAAAGCTCAGAGTCGTATAAATAGACATGCAGTTCCATCTAGGTAGGAAATGAGCAGGACATTTTTATTCCCAGTTGAGTCCATAAATTCCAAGCGCGCTATAAGCTTACCTCATTAATCACTCAATTCATCCTTACAAAAATTGATTTTATGATAGTGATGTCTATCGATAACTTATCGATATTCGAATAATACAGCAAACGCATCTAAAAGCTTTCAACATATGTGCTTAAAGCTCGCTAAAAATGTAAGCATTTAAGCTAAGCTCTTTAAGTGTCAGAGCTCAACAAATAAAGTTGATTAATAATCGATAAATTTTAATCTATGAAAAAATCAAAATTCTCTTTAGTTGCATATGGCATACTGAAATTTGATAGAAATAAACCTGAAAGTTAACAACTGCTATCATTTCAAGGCATATCAGTAATCTTGCAAATTTATCGATAATTGCTAAAACTTGAAATGGGCCTCAAAGCAAAGTACCTTAAGCAGGCAGTCAATTCATCTATATATCTATGATACCTGTCTAGTTATAACAAACTAAGTTATGTGCTTGGGAAAATACCAGGAATTAGAAAAGTATGATCGATATTAATCGATAAATGAGAGCATTGTTTTAGAACTGTACTCAACTAAAGGCTTCATATCCTTAGTTCAATAGACCTCACTCTAGCATACCCCATGTACTCATTTGGTTTAATGTACAGGGTATAACAAAGAGCTTAAAAACTCAGCGACGCCCAACAAAAGCCACAAACCACTGGAAAAGGCTCAAGTGTTGGCAACGCAGTTGTTGCCCACTTGCAGCTTACAACTTGCAACTGGCAACTGGCAAGTTGCAACTTCATGGCAAATGGGAAACATTTTGGGGCACGGCGTAAACTCACCCGCAGGGCTTGCAGTGCGTCATGTGCAGATCCCAGTTAAGGTGAAAGTTGAACATGCGCAGCTTAGCGACCGCCCGCTGCCTCAGCGAGATGTCCGGCGGCGTTGCAGCAGCAGCTGCTTGTGCTCCTGCTCCTGCTCCTGCTCCTCCGCCAGCTGCTGCTCCTCCTCCTGCTGCTGCTGCACCGCCTGCTGCTGCGGCATTGGCCAGCACCGGCGCACGCTGTGCATTTGGATACATCATGACGGTGCCACTGGGCGCTGAGCTGGCGAACAGGCGCTGCGATGTGGAGACTGTGCCAATTCCGTGGCCATGGCGATAGTGTTGATGCTGATGCTGGTGCGGGTGCTCCTTCAGCGTGTAGAAGCCGCCCGAGGAACTGCAACAAGCGAATACACAGTTTAACCTCATGCTAAAGTGCATGTTAAAGTTAACACTAAAGTTCAAATAGTCAGTTGTAGGCAAGCAATACGGATTTGGAACTATCTGAAACTATCGCAAGGCGATAAACCAATTTGTAGTTCAAGGTAAATCTCATGCTAAAGTTAAAGTTACTTGTAGTGGCAAGCTATGGGTCAAGTCAAACATTTTTAATTTGGAACTGGAAACTATCGTAGGGTTATAAGATAAGTTATAGCTTATGGTGGAGCTCATGTTAAAATGCAGTTTAAAGCTAAGACTAAAATGCTAATTAGCTTAAGGATGTGAATTGAGAAGCTAGGAAAGCTATAGTATATATAGTAGATAAAGTATTGAAAAAGCTATTAGGTACTATAGAAAAAGTATTTACTAGCCAAAGTTCTCTTATGCCTCTAGTTATAGTCTTATGTCTCTTAGAGTCTCTAATTACTGAGCTGCGCGTAAGGAAAGCCTTTTTGATGGATTAGATATCGCGCAAGATCAAGTTACATAGTCGTACAAAACATCTGATATTATCTCTATTATTAATAACTTGAAAATAGTTTGACCACACTGCCCCAGCTTCCCCTCTTCCTATCACACTATTTCCAATCTCTATAATCCACTGATAAATTTGTAAATTCATTGAGCTATTGATGGACTGGCTCAGGTAAAGATTGTCTGCCTGAGTTCCTGTTTGATGGGTTGATTGACTGATTGATAACTATTAAGATTGATTGATGTACCAACTCTATGACTGATTGATTGAGTGGTTTAGGTGGGAGTGACAATTCACTTGATGTCTAACCAATGCATTGACTGATTGATTTCTTGATTGATTGCTTGACCAACGAACGCCATGGCACATAGTATTAAATACTCCAACACATAGTCCTACATAGATCTTAAAATAATCAGAATGGTTCGCTTGGAGTAGTGTTGTTCAATTGAGCTTTACTTACGACATGTTATCACCGCCAGCATCGCCCACGCAGCTGGTAACACTGGCCATGCCGCCGCTGCGTCGCGGTCGGCTCTTGCGTCGACGTCGACGCCGGCGCTCCGATGAGGCGGTGCGCGTTTGCAAAACGTGCTGGCTAAGCGATTTGTGACAGTTCGATGGCGGCTGCCCGCTGCTGGCCAAACGGCGTCCGGTCGCATTGCTGCCGCCGGCAGCGCTGCCCACGCCGACGCCGACGCCGGGCAGACCTTGAACAGCGACCACGAGCTGCGCATCACCAAAGCCGCCCGCAGAGCTGATGGTGTCACTCGAATGTGGCGTTATAATGCCGGCAGCTGCGCCGGCAGCGCCGGTAGCGGCGCCAGCAGCAGCGTTGGCCGACTGTGCTGCCTGCGACGGCGTTTGTGATTTGCTGTTGCGCAGGCTGTGATTCACTTTGCGCCACATGCGTTCCATAACGGGATTTCTTGCTGATGTTGTTCTTTCTTTATATTTTTCTTTTGTTATCTATTTTTAGTTGCTTCTTCTAATTCCTAAGCAATTTTTACTAGCTACAAAGGAGTAGGGGATGAATTTGGCGACTCTTCTGTAGTGGAAGTAGTTGTTGTTGTTGTTGCTATCGTTGTTATAGTTGTATTGTTGCGAGGTGGCAGTGTTTTGTTTTATTTGTTGTTGTATTTTTTTCTTTTCTTGTCAGCTCTGGCGCTGTTTGCTGAGCAGCAGCCGCAACATGCCTGCATAAGCCCACACACTCTCTCTCACGCACACAGGCACAGTGGCACACACACACACACACACAGACGCACACAGGCACACACAAAAAGCTACTCAGCAGGAACTATGCATTGTTGTGGTTTATAGTATTAGTTGTTGTTGTTGTTCTCTGTGGATAGCGGAAGCAGAAAACAAAGAGCATGAATTGAGTTTAACCAAACACATACACTCACACACCCACAAGCAGCGCGCTCTAAATGCGCGTGTGTGTGTGTGTGTGTGGAAACTTTTGTCATGCACTTTTAGGTTAAGCACGCGCTTCACTCCTTTTGTTAACTCGCGCCATTGTTGTTGTTGTCACTGCTGATGTTCACATTGCACTTGTGAATGAAAACGAATTGCAGAGAGCAATTGAGCGAGGCACACGCACACGCACCCACACATAAACAAACTATTTGCATACACATGCACAGCTGTATATTTGTTGTTATTTTCTCTCTCTTTTTATTTTTCAAAATGGCAAAACTTGTTAAGTCTTCACTCGAAAAAAAAAAATACATCTAAATAGCAGCAATCAGCAGCAGTGAAAAGCAACAGCGAGAACTGTAACTGTAAAGATGAGAAACACAGTGAAGACGGTGATGAAGGCGACGACAGCGCGGCAGCGACGATGGCGACAGCGACGAAGACGACGACACACATTTTACGTTTTGTGTAATTTTGCGTTAGTAATGAGCGGAGAGCGCAAACACACACGCACACACATGTACAAAAGCAGAGACAAAAACACACACACACGCAGCCAAAAAGTAAAGCAGGAGAGTTTAACGTTGGCGTTGGCAACCAAAGCGCCGCTTTTATTGACGCCAAGCTACTCCTGCTTGTTTTCGTTGTTGTTGCTGCGGCTGCTTACGTTTCTAGATTGTGCTGAAAGTTCTCTATGCGAACAGTGGTCTAAGGCTTCGCAAAATAGATTGAAATTAATGAACGGACAGCTTAATTAATCGTATGCATAGGTTGAATTTCAACCTATTTTAGAGATGGCTATTAGCCAAAAGTAGCTGATTTTTGGCAAATTGAAATATTTGACGAAAAATCTAAAAAGAAATAACGAAGTAAATTTAAAGCACATAGCATTTAAAATTCAATTTGCTTATAATTTCAAACAAATAAATCCAATGCCCAAAAAAGTATGCTATAAGTAAATTGGCAAAGACAACTTCAAGAGTGTCATTAAGGAGCTACAACCTTTTAAACCAAAGAAGTGTGTTAAAGAGAAAAGAAAAACAGTTGTCGGAACAATACGCGTTGAATAACAAAATCGTAGTTGCCTTGAGGACTTAGCACCACTGTGCCTGCACAAGCAGGAGCTGCCCAACTGAGCGCTCTCTAGCACTCTTACTCTCGCTCTCTCTCGCTGCCGTGCGTGGGCGCAAGCCGTTGCCGTTGCCGTTGTCATCGTCGTTGCCGTCGTTGTTGTTGTATCCAGCCACGTCCTGTGTATAACACAAACAATTTGTGCTTGACGCTGCAAGGGAATTCCCGATGAGAGAGCGCACTGGCAAAGTCATCAATTGATACGTTAATGAAAATCTATTTTCAATTATTATTAACACTTTTCATTGTCTGCTTTTGCGAGCACGCACACACGCACACAGTCACCGGAAACGGAAACGTTTGTCAATTTACATTATTTTTATTTATGATTTTTCTTTCGCTTCGTTATCACAAACAACGAAATTCGCTGCGCTTTTTGTGGCCAGGAGCAGAGGCCTCTGCCCGTTTATTGGCAACGCGCACGCACAAATAAAGCAGACACAGCGAGCGATGCTCAACACTGGCAATAGCAGCAGCAGCGGCAGCGACAGCGACAGCGGCTGAGGCAGAGCCAGCACCGCATTCCGTTGCTCTCGACTGTCATGCTCTCACGCTCGCACTCTCGCTGTCAGTGACGTTCTCTTTGGAAAATGTAAACATTGTCGAAGCCGGGCATTTTAATTAAGAAACAAAAAAACTATAAGACCCACGGTATAATTAGCCAAAATTTTGTTGCTGTTATTTATTTTATGCGTTATGTTAGTCTTTGGCTTAGTTTTTAGTTATTATCGATAGCTGGGCTATGGCGGAAATATCGAATATTGTAGTAGCATTAAAAGGGATATTTTAGGGACATTTCAGCGGCATTTACTAGCTGGACATTTACTGGCGCCCTCTATTGCATGGCAGCGAAAGCAGTAGTTATGCCAGCTGCGCGCTAGATGGCGCCAGCATGAAAATACCACAGGATGAGCAAGCCTTGAGAACAGTGAAATTAGACCCGCGCATATTATCTGCAAATAAAATGGTTTGCTTGTAACATAATTTCCCATTCGAATTCCCATTCCAAAAGCACAGAAAATTGTTTTTAATATATTTTTTTTTTATATTTAAGTTTGCTTTTTCTTGTTGTTTATAGTATTTGCCAGTTTGGCTGACATATGTATCAGCTTGATCGTAATCGTTATCGTAATCGTTATCGGTATCGGTATCTGTATCGTCTCTATCCACATGCTTTGCCTTAGGTGACACTTTTCATTCGATATACTTGGTATATGCGAGCCATACGTGTTATCGGTTATCGATTCATTCTATATATATGTATATATATGTTATATATTGATCTTGATCTGTTTAGTTTAGACATTTAGTTGACATCGAACATACACAAAAGGAATGTCTTAATATGATTTCTTTATTTATTTGTTTTGTTTTTTTTTTTTTTGTGTTATTTTACGTTTTTTTTTTTTTTTTTTCTTTTCATTTTTGTTGTTCTTAGATAAATTGCCTTTATAATCTGATAACTGTATCACTACGTTACACACACATCGAGACACACATCAAAAAGGAAATGTTATATTACTGCTATATGCTGTCCACGCTCAACCTTTCTCGTTCTAACTCTTCTCTTTCTCCTCTCTTCCTGCTCTTTCTAACTTACGCTTACAAAATGTTTCTTATTTATTTTTTTGGCCTATTGCGTAATTTTACATATTTGAGATCTTCAATTATACTTAAGACTTGCACCACGGTGCCAGTGCTGCCACCAAGTTGTAGTTTCCTTTGTTATTTATTATTATTATTTTTTTTTTTTTTACTTATCACAAAAAGTGTTGAAAACAAAAATGAGAAACTGAAACAGAATCAGAGACTGAGACTGAGACGGCACAGACACAATTGAGTTAGTCGGAACGCTTGGAAGTGAAACAGCGAATGCCATACAAATTCGTTTACAGCTAATCTATGCATGTCTACTAATACATATAAATTCTTGTTTATATGTGTATATATTTGCAACTCTTCCTTGAATTTTTGATTTCACGTTAGCTTATTTATAAAACGGGCCTCAGCGCACCAAATCCCAAACGTGTCTGACTGTGTGGCAACACTCTTGTACAAATTCAAATTATTTTAATCTTCAATTTTGTTTATTTTTATTTTCAGCATTGTGTCTGCTTTTTATTTTATTTTTTTTATTTTAAGTTAGTTTGGTTTTATTTCTTTTTTTTTTATCTTAATTTTTTTTTGCATTTTAGAAAAATGTTTTTGTTTGGTGTTGTTTTGTGGCAACTTTAGATTTGCTTTATGCGCACTTTCTTGTGTTGGCATTTTACAACACAGTGTTGGTCCAGTGTTAGCAGTGGCCTTTTTTAACATCTCTTCTTCATCTTCTCGAAAATGCTAATTGTTTTCTCGGTTTTCTTGTTTTTTACAATTTCTGCTAGATAAAAAATAAAAAACAAATAAAAATTACATATTCCATGCGCTGTTGCCTCACTGAAATTCGGCAACGTTGCATAGTGAGTACCGTTAGTTAGTTGCCGCTTTGCCCATTCGACACAAATTCACAAAAAATTTTATTTTTTCAAGTTTTTTTTTTTTACGTATTACGCCAATGACATTTCTTTACTGTATTTTTTACCAATTTTCATTCGCATCTTTTCTTCTTCTTGTTCAACATCAAATATATTTCTATTTATTATTATTTATACAAATATATATATGTAGAAATACATATATATATTTGTATTCCGTTTATGTGGTATGAATATTTACAAGCTTTAGCATAAAACTGGTGTTTTGTTTTTTAAATTAAATTAAAATTAGTGTAAAAATATATGTATATATTTTAGTTATACATTTCTATATATAAAGACATATATATTTTAATGTAGTTAAGAGAACAAAAATAAATTATTGAATTAGCACAAAAAAAAAAAACTTAATGTAAGCTTAAAGACATTTGTTTTTCTCTTAATTTTCTTTTAATTAAAGGAAATTAACAACAAAAAAGTAGCTTAACTTAAGTGTATCAAAAAAAAGTTTACATATATATTTATGTTTATATATGTATATATTACGTAATGCCTATCGAATTGTTTTTGCTTTCATTGTTTCAGTTATTTAGTGATTTGTTGTTGTTGTTACATTTGCATTAATTCATTTTACTCTTTGCTGCACCTTCTTCTTCTTCTCTTTCTCTCTCTCTCTCTCTCCCTCACTTGGCTAAAAAGAATCCTTTGCTTGCGCTACAAAATGTCTGCCATCTTGCATTTGCGCTCTCTTCTTCAAATTGTTTTGGTGTTTTGTTTACTTTTTTCGTTTGCTTTAAAAGTACAAATATTTTTTTCTTTTTCAAACAAATTGCATTTGTTTTTGTTTTTGTTTCGTTTGTTGCTTATGCCTACAAAAATGTTGTTGTTGTTGTTGTTGGTCGTCATGGACAGAGCGCGCTCGCCCGTTGTAGCTGCGACGCCGGCGTCGCGACCGCCGCAGAAAAAAAAATTTGTGTTTTCTTCCTTTTGTTGTCTCGCTCAATGTAAAAATTGGCATTCGGCTGCCGTCGGCGACAGACAGACATATGCATTGTTGTTAGAGAGCGAGCGAGACAGAGTCAAGAGAGTTGCGTGTGTGTGCAGCCGGTGATCGCCGAACAATATTAAACTTCCTCTCTCTCTCACTCTCTTTCTGTTCCCTGTTCGCTGTTCGCTGTTCACTGGCTGGCTCAAAAGTGCTCCAAAGCTCTGCGCAGCTTTTTGCAATAAAATGGACATTAAGATTCTCGCTCCTTTTTAACCTTCACCTCCTCGCCTAATATTGTGGTGATTTCGCCCTGCATGAAGGCCCACGGTATGGTGGAATTGGCCAGCGGACATCGTTCCCCACTTGGGCAATACACCTCATTGCCCAGACCCTGTAAGCGATGATGGGATGAAAAGAGATGGCATTAGTAAGCATATTGAGTTTGACGTAACAAAGATAGAACGCTCTCTATCTTTCACTTTCTACTCACATTCTGTCGCTTAATGCTCTCACGACTGCAGGGAAAGCAGAACTTGTGGATGTTCACCGATGGGCATTGGACGAAGTGCGTATCCTCGAGTCGCTCCTGACAGAGCGTGCACTTCAGCGTCGCATTCTGGGCTGCGGCCGCTGCTGCTGCAGCCGCTGAATTTGGCGCTGCGCTGCTGCCAGGCGCACCGCTAATGCCAGCCGCGCTGCCGCCACTGCTACCGCCGCCGCTGCTGCTGCTGCTGCTGCTCATGCCGGGCGCACCCTGACTGCCACTACTGCCCGGCCCGGCGTTGACGGCGCCGCTGCCATTGCTGCCACTCGGTCCGATGGCGCCACCGCCGCTGCCGCCGCTGCCATCGCCAGCAACGGCGTTCGGATTAGGTGGCAGCGATGAGGGTCCAGCGTTGCCATTGCCAGACGCAGAGCCGCCACCGCCGCCGGCGCCAGCGCTGCTGCAACTGCTCAGCTGTGAGTTGCTCGGGCCGCCCGGTCCGCCTAGCGAGCCGGCGACGCCGCCAGCTCCGCTGCCAGCGCCCAAGCCAGCAGCAACGGCGGCCGCCTGCACTGAATTCGAGCCGCCAACTTCGCTGCTTGTGACCGTTGTGCTGGATACATGGCGAGAGCCCGACGAGCGGCGACCCGACGAAGAGCCTGCACAAGAGAACAATAGAGAAACGCAATTAGTTTCATTTTTATTTGTATTCACAGTTAGCTAAAACTTACCCGAGCTATTCGGCGAGTGAACACTGCGCGGAGGCATCGGCCCCGATGGTGGGCTCGATCCATTGCGACGGCTGGCTGGAGACAAGTGTTCTGCAAATGGAAGAACGAATGGAAAAAGAATTAGAATACGCAAACAAGAGTAAGAGAGAGGCTGATATGTAAAGACTCGTCCGTTGATAAAAGGGAGACTCAATTTGGAGAGCGCTAGGCAACTGAAAGAAAGCTTTACAGCTTAACGGTTAACATGGAAGAGAGCTTAATCGACATAGAAGGGAAAGAGAAAGTGAGAGAGATCTCCTGTCTTTGTCTCCTAGTCAATATGGCGTAAATTTAAAAAAAAAAAAAAAAAAAAAAAAAAAACAATTTTTGTTAAATTGATAACGCTCTGTTCGACTAAGAGATGCCCTAAATCCTGCTATTCACACACGCACACATACATACATACATACTTACAAATCTAAGCGCGCTCTGTTTACTGCGTAGTTTATGCAGCGACTGCGCTCCATAGGCGACTATATGCAATTTGTTAATGAAATTTACAGGGCAGCCAGATAGTAGTTAGTTAATTATCTCTACTATATAAACATAAAATATGTATACATATGTATGTGGGTAGGTGTATTTTCAAATTGCGTTACCATAGCTCTGCAGAGTATCTGCTCGTCGAGCACCCTCAACCATTGTATAAGTCGACATACATTAAATAGTAAATTTGACTATCAAGCATTTTAATGAAACAGTTGTTTGTTTTATTGACAGCTTACTGTACATCAAAATGTTAAGCTAAAAGCCAAATGCATATTTACATACATAAATACGTCTATACACATGCATACATATTCACAAAGCATGCAGCTATGCATACATACATACATATCTATGACATGCATAAAAATGCTCGACATTTACTTAATGAAGGCTGCTTTCGTTTTTAAATTGCGAATGAATCAAAAAGGAAAACTACTAAATGAAATCATTTTCATTGCAAGATGTTTTTTCTTCTCTTCATTCGTCTTTTTTGGCGCAATATTTGTAATTTTAGAACTTGGCACGGAACGTTTCACAGTTTACTCACACACATACGCACAAACACATGCATGTGCTTCTTTGTATGTATGTTGCCAACAGCAACAGCAACAGCAACGACGACAACGACAACATTTTCATTCACCAGCAGCGACAACAGCGGCAACGTGACGTCACAGCACAACACACTGTGCAGGTTGCTGGCCCCACTGTGCCGCAGCGCAGCGCACGAACACCACAATAACAACAACGACGACAACAACAATAGAATCTTCAACCAGCTGGTTTTTTGCAAACGCGACGTCAGTTGGCAAAGTGCCAGAGCGCTAGGCAGCGAAGCAAACGACACGAATTGAAACGAAACAAGTTTTTGGTGCTGCTGCGCATACGTCACAAGGCAGCGACGCATGCAGAGCAGCAACAGCGACCGAGCGAGCGAGCTAGCAAACGTGCAGAATGCAGTTGGCAGTTGGCTGGGCCGGTTTTATTTTTTTTTTGCTTTTTATATATTTTGTTGTCTTCTTTACTTTTTATTTCTTCCTTTTCGTTTTCTGCAAGCATGCAACGCGAGACGAGACTCTGAGACACTTCGTGTATGTATACCAGATACGACGACACACACACACGCATACTCACGCATACACATGCGCAAGCATATTTGTAGTTTTGTTTTGACTGTTTGCTTTGGTTTTTTCGTCACGCAGCCGGCACGGCCGCCGCGTGACTTGCCGAGCGGCGGTCACGCCAATTAACATACACACAAACGTAATTTATATATATACATATGTATTATATATAGGTACATAGTTGTATATATTATTTATATATAGATATATGTATTAAATATGCATAGTTATGTGAGCAAGTATGTGTGTGCGCACATGCGCAAGACTTAACAGGCCGCGGTCGCGTCTCTGTCCCGCTGCTCTGTTAACTGTTGCTGTTAACATGACTTTTTTTTATTACTTTTATTTTACTTTTTTCCTTTGCTTTTAATGAGCTTCAACATATTCAGCGCACGCGCACGCGTAGCCACAATTTACTTTTGCTGCCGATGATGATATTGAAAAGCTACAAGAAAGAAGCAAAAAATACAAATACAACAACAGCAGCAACAACCCAGAGGCACGCTGGAATTGAGCTGGGCTTTAATTTGTATGCCTAGCGGGGCCGTGCACATTGCTCAAATGTCGACGACGCTGTCAGCGGCCGCACAGTGGGCTGCATACCAAGTGCTACCGTCTGCCCCGGGAGTGCTGTTATGTTTATTTATTGGAAACTGTTGCTGTGTTATTATTGTTGTTGCTGTTGCCTGTTCCTGCGCCACGTTGCTAAATTGGCGAGTCAAAAAACGCGCACAGACAATCGCAATTTGGTGCGTTGGCGTTGCCGTCTCCGTTGGTATCGACGTCGACGTCGACGCCGACATCAGCGTCGTGCGTGCTGTGTGTGTGTGGCCTCACCAATAATGAAATGTGATTTTTTATAGCATTTGTTTATATTTTGCACGAAAATGTGTAAAAATAATAATAATAATAAGCAAGAAGAAGAAAAACAATAAACAATGACAACAGCAGCAGCAACAACAACGACAACAAAGTATAGCAGCATCATCGACATGTATGCAATGCGTGCAGAGCATCGCTGCCGCCTCCATTCAAAAAGAGCGCGCGAGAGAGCCGCACTGAGCGCCATGTGCACAGTGAGCAGAAAGCCATTTGTGTGTATGTAATTAATATATTTACAAAATAGAAATTTTAACTATTTCAGTTAATTATTTTGTATGTATAAATATATATATTTGCATTACATACAATTTGATATAAATATATTTTCAGTTTCACTTGGAAACAATCAATTTGCTTCAGTGTGAATGCAGTAGACATTCAGTTCTTCGGGCCAATCTATTTTTAGCTACAATTCTTTTACATTTCATTTCATTTCTATTTTCTGCTGCTTTTGGCATCATATTTGCACACTACAGCGCAAACATGAATCATTTGTTAATTTTTAAACACAGAAAAAACTATTTGCCTGTATTAGATGAATGAATGGGGCCACACCCCAACACATACATATATGCATATGTATGGTTTATGTATGGTTTATAGCCTATATGTTTAGATCTTGAAGAATTTGCAAAATTATTCAACTATTGTTATTGAAAATGAAACATTAGTGCGTAATTAGAGAATTTTTATATTTTCTTTTTGTATTATTAGCAGATTATTTCAATATATGTACATAAGCCTACAAATCTCTCCATTGATTTCCGTTGATAATAAGCCTTCCTTCCATATCAGCAAACAGAAAGAAGAGGAAAGCCGTAATCAAAAATAAACAAACGATATGCCTAGAATAGAGCAGCACTTAAGTCGTGTGATCTGCCTCTATCTAGAAAACAAATACTAGCCCTATCTATCTATATATATATGTATATAAATGATTATATATGTGTACATAAACCACACGCTATCAGTCATAGTTGGCCATGGATAAGATAAGATAGTGGCCTCAATGAGGAGCAGGCAATTACCTAGCGATAAGATAAGAGCCCAAAAACAGCTGTGTGCATAAAACCCAACCAACCCAAAAGCAAACGAAAGTGGAGCCACGTTCTATATATGTATAGCATATATACACAAAATAAACTAATTTAATTGGAACTTATATAAATAGCATGAGAGGCATAGCACTTATCGCAAGGGAGCTCTCATAAGTGCTTTACTCATGATCGTCTTATCTGCTCAGTTAATGCATATGCTTAAAGTGCTTGGGAATTACAACGGAAACGCTTGAAAATCTCAAATTTACATTTTGATTTGCTTCTAGTTATGTTAAGAGAAAGCGACAAATTATTTAGTATATATATCAAAATTATATAACTCTTGATAAACACTCACTCTATGAGCCACACTCCTCCCACACTCACGTCAAATACACATGTCTGAACCATGGAATCGATAAATCATTGATAATGCAATGTTTAATCTACATTATCAAAGCGCTAACTCTGCTTTATTGATTATATTTAATCGTATCTCTGTTCCTGCATACATAATGAATATGCTTTCACATACTTACTTTCACAACCACTGTACCTGCTTATCTGCACCACTGTTCGACTGATAAGCACTGCTCGCTGATAGAACGTTAGATAAGATATGTCAACGCGGCATGATACCCTATTTTATTGTCTCGCTTATCATCCATTGGGGCATGTGCTTGCGACTAACCAAAATAAAATTTTATTAAATCTGCTTTTCTTTTCTTTTTTCCGTGATTTATGCACCCAAGAACAGTGTCGCTTTCATTCACACGTATTACGTGCGCTTGTAGTGGTTGGTCACACTGTGCACTGATGCAGCTAATCAGCAGGCAGAGCTAGCGGTGGCGACGTCGACTGCGATGTTGCCTAGGTTCATGCACACACACACATAGACACACACACACACAAGTGCAAATGCTCTCATCGCAATATCTCTCTCTGCATGCTGCTGTTCACGTGTTAACGGTAAAGGTGCTGCACTGCATGCTGATGATGAGATGCTTCTGATTGACAGAGAGCGTGCCTAATTATTACATAGGGCAGTGCGAGACAGACACAGAGCGAGGGGGAGAGAGAGAAGCGTGTGCACAATGAAATATTTGTGACTAACGCGCACATTGGAATGGTCGCAAATGTCTGCGCTCTCAATGCAAGCTGCAATTGCAAGAGAGCTGAATGTATACAACAAAGCGCGTTGAAGGAAGGAAAGAAAGAGCGAGCGAGAGAGTGAGAGAAGTGGGCGGCCGGGAGCAAGCAACTCGCACGTTCTATGTGTGTGCCTAAATATTTGTGTATGTATGCAGTGCATGTATGCATTATGTTCTAAGCTATAAAAGCTGATGCTGTTGATGAATACATATACATACATACATATTTATATTTATACATATCTATCTATCTATCTATATATATATATATATATATATATATATATATATGTATCAATATTGTGCAGCCTTATTTTGTATGTATCCCACAATGTTGTATTTTTAGTATACACACAGATACATATACACATACAGAGTTTGGTAATGAAACACTAGTACATGCATACATATAATATACAAAGCACAAACGTAACGTAAATACAAGCAATAGGCAGTAAATGGCCGCAGCAAAGTAAAACGAAAAAGACCTAAAATCAACAAGAAGCATACATACGTGCATGTATGTGTGGATGTATGTATGTATACAGAGAAACACGCACAGTGTGTCAATGCGATTGTCAATAAGATTCGCACTACATTTTACAAAACACTATTATAAAACAAATACCATCGAAATGCTGTACAACGTAAGTAACAATTAAACTATCAATTACATTTTTTTTTCTCCAACTCAGCAGTAAATATTTTACTAAACTTATATGATCATCAATGAAAATACGCTTGGGCCCACTGTATAGCGGCAGATGACGGCATCGGCATGCGCGAAAAATTCTCATTATTTTGGTTTTCATTTCTATTTGGTGAGTATTCGGGCATGTATACACATATGTACATGAATATACATATACATAGATATAGATTGTAAGTAGTGTGTGTGTGTACGATAAACGTTGCTGTTGCAGTTCGCCGTTCCGTATACTAACTACAAATTTTATCTACACTGTTTGCTGTTCTGCGTATGCGCGCGTATCTGTGTAAGTGTGTGTGCAACTTGTTATCGCATAGCGTAAAACAGCAAAGGAGAAATAAAAACCAAAACAAGTTTAATGACGTTTTGCGCGCGCACACACACACACGCACGCACGAACACAAAAGAATGAGAAAAACAAAAAACAAAAGAATGAAAGAAAAAACAACAATATACAAACTTTGAGAACCGAGCAGTAAATCGAAAAACCCGTTTAGCCCAGGCAGCAGTAACAGCGAGAGAGCGAGAGAGGCACAGTTACAGCAGTAATAGCAACGACAGAGCTTTGGCACGCAAGAGAGAGAGACACAGTTACACAGCTCAGCTTAACTCACAATCCAGTAGCATCAGCAGCAGCGAGCGATGTTGACTTTTTGCACGTCTGTTTTTATTACATTTTTTCGGGTCGCGTACCGTCCTTTCGGGTTACGTGTAGCCGAATACGAGTTGTATGTATACATACATACATACATATACATATATGTATGTATGAATGTATATATATGTATCGTACATACATACATATGTATTTCTGTGAATGCCTGTTATGTATTTTAGCTTTTTAGCTTTGCGCATGACGAGCAGCAAATGCCTTTTTATGGCAAGGGTTGGCAGCACCAAAAGGTGCCGCTACTGTCAATGAGGGTTGCGTCGTCGCCGTCCTCCTTGTTGTATTGCAAAATGCGTGCAACTCTGTCTGTGTGGGTGCCTGTGTGCTTGACTGTGTACGTGACATTTTGGTGTGTCCAAACTACCAAAATTAGTTAAACAAATGCAATTTGTTTAGCTTTGCCCGTGTCTATTTATGTTTCTATCTCTTTCCCTCTCCCCCCTCCATTTGACCATGCACTTGACGCCTTCCAAGCTTAGCAAATCAACATACATATGCGTGTTTTACACACACACTCATACGCATTATTTGTTGTGGCCCAGCGCCTGGAAGAGCTCATGCGTTCCAAAAAAAAAAAAAAAAAAAAAGCTGCGTCAAGGCAACCCACCAACTGCAACTGCACCAGCAGAAGCAGAATTAGCTCAGCGACTGCGCCTCTGGCCGATAAGCTGCGGCGGCGACATGCTGATAACAGGCTGTATGTACATGGTATACATATTTATGTATACATACATATATATATATATATATATATATATATATATATATGCATATATAGACGACGGTTCCGTTATCTAATCTGCTGTTGACGACGCTGCGTTGCCAGTTATCAGCCAATAGTCGCGCTGCTGCTCGACTGATAAGCACAACTTATTTCTTCCTATCTGCTATCTCTTCCTGTGCCCCCACTCTCTCTCTATCTCTGTTGCGCCTAGTCTGTCTGTCTATCTATCATCCCTCTCTCTCTCTCTCTCTTTCTCTCTGTCTCGCTTTCGTTCTGATAAGCGACAATCACGCTCGCTCACTCGGCTTGGGATTTTGTGTGCCAGTTCGCAGCGGCGCTTATCTTCCAACGGTACACACACACACATGTATACACATATGTGTACGTGTGTGTGTGTGCATACACACGGAATCGAAGCTTTTGCATGTTTCTCGATGTTCATTGGAAACATTTTGAAAGATGTTAAAATTGAAAAATTTGAAATCAGAGCTGAAGACATATGTTTCATAAAATATGTATGTATGTAGTATACATTGATATATATGTATATGTATATAAATAAATGTGTTTATAGATAATGGAGAATTTTATTTGAATAAAGCTGCCTTTGTTCCACTGTTAACACAGCATGGAATTTACAGCTATTCTCTGAATTTGCCATGAACAAATACTTGCGGTACTTTTTTTTTTTTTTTTTTTTTGGTACCAACTAACAGGGTATGGCGCAGTCGCTGCTTGCTAACGTGTACAAGATACTATAAATACCAAGGCATGCATGAAATGGCCAACAAATTTCTCACAGTTTTTACAGGGTATGGCACAGTCACTGCTTACTAGCTCCATGTTTTACAGTTGTGGATTGGAGTAGGTACTCAGAATAAAGTGCCAATAAAATACCAAGGCATGAAATGATCAACATAGTAGTGAAGTTGGTTTTATAGGGTATTACGCATTGGCTGCCTATTAGTCAGCTAACAACTTTAACAGCTACTAAAAGAGCCAGAATGTAATTTGACAAGATTTTCATGTTATGAATTTTTACAGGGTATTACATAGTAGTTGCTTAGCCACACTACACACATCTACTCTGCAAGTACCTGACTATGAGACTTGTCTGCCTAGTTTTAGCTTTAGTTTCTCCTATTCTACAGGGTATTCGACTAGTCAGTCGTTGTTGCATAACTCACCGGCTGCCTTGAAGGTCGACGCATCGAAGCTGGGCGCCCGCACCGGCTGCTGCTTGTCGCGCAAGTTGAGCTGCCGCTCGGGCACGTAGCTGACCGCGGGCAGCGATTCGCCCCGTGTCAAGGGCGGCCGCACGCCGTTGGGATCATCGAGGGCGCTGCGCTTGACGCTGGAGGGGCCGACGCCGACGCTGCTGCTGCCGGCAGCGAGATCGGCAACGCTGACGCCGACGCCGACGCCAACGTGCGGTGGCCCGTGCGATTGCTGCTGCTGTGACTCAATGTCGACGTCCTCGGAGGGCGGACGCTTCAAGTTGACGGAGAGGGCGGGCAGCAGAGCTGAGGCGCTGACGCCGCTGCCAACGGGCGGCTGTTGCTGCTGTGTAACGGGACCGGGTCCAGGTCCGGCACGCTGACCGGCTGTGGGCGGCATATGGTGGGGCGTCATATGGGAGATGCGCACCGGTCGCACATCCGGCGCCGACTCCAACTTAACGGGAAAGTCCATGACGCCGCTGCTCTGTTGCTGCTGCTGCTGTGGCGGCGGCGGCGGTGGACCGATGCGCGGCATCTGATAAGCGGCCGCCACGGCATGATGATGTGACAGCGACAACGGGCCTGGCCCGCCACCTGTCGATGTGCTCGGAGCGCCTCGATGCTGTGGCCCGCCACTCAGCTGCTGCTGCTGCAGACTCTGCTGCTGCTGCAGGACGACGACTTCGCCGTTCTCGTGGGCGCGCTTGCTGCTCGGATGCAGCCGCTTCATCTGCCTGGCCGCGTCCAGCACCACCTCGATGCGGTCGGCGCCCTCGTAGTTGACGCAGCCGCGGCACACGGCCTCCGAGAAGTCATTGATCATGGCCCAGGGCATGCGGGGCAGATCGCAGAGGTAGCAGTGCTGCCTCTTCGTTTGCAGCGACATCTCGTTGGGGTTGGGGTTGGGATTGCTGTAGTTGCAGTTGTTGCTGTTGTGAGGGGGTGGGGCTGGGTGTATTTGTATATGTGCTGTGTAGATTTCTAGTAGTTCAACTGGAAGTCGAATGGAATGCACTGCTGCAACGACGACGACGACGACGGCGTCGACAGCGACGGTGACTGCGGCTGCTGCGACCCAAATTTACGCGCGCAACTCGACCCACTTTTTGGCGTCAGCGTCGCTGCGCGCACAAATGCACAAGAACAAAAAAAAAACGCACACACGAGACAAACGCACACACGCACACACGGAGTAGAAAGAACGAGAATTGGTTTTCTGTCAAGCGCTTGATTAATTGCTTGTCGATAACAAATATCGATAATTGTTTAACAATGGCGCCGCTTGCTGCTGCTCTTGTTGTTTTTGTTGCTGTTGCTTTTGTTGTACCGGCGAATTGTTGTCGTTTTTATCATTGCGCTCCGGCATTTTATACACATGCATCTACACACATATACATATGTAAATTACTTCTTATAAATTTGTTTGAAGCACAGAGAATATATATTCTTGTTCAGCACGACTAGCTGACACGCTATAGCCATGTCCGTCTGCAAAACTTGTTTTTCAAATTTTTTTCTTTTTCTTTTTATCTGCTGCTGTTAGCGTCTTGCGCTTTGTTATTGATTTTCGCTGCTGCACACACACACATGGCCAGCAAAAAATACAAAAAAAAAATTTATTTATTTTTCTAAACTTTGTTTTTTTCCGTACACTGGCAAAAAAAATGTAGTTTGATTGTTTTTAAATATTTTTTCTATTGCGCTGCGGCGCACGCACACATAAACACGCAGCTGCACATGTATGTATGCACGTATTATACATACACGTACGCTTCAGTTTTTTTCTACGTCTTTGTCGCCTGCACAAAATACACACATGAACAGAGACGGACATACACAGAGACACGCACACACAGAGCACAGAGCAAAGACACGTACCGAGCGACGCTCAATATGTGTGGCCAACAACACCGAAGAATGTTTAGCGTAAGCGTAACTTGACGCGGCAACGTTCGGCTACAGAATGATGAAAATGAGCGGTGCGCAAAGCAAAGTAGCGTAAAAGCAAAACCAAACAAAAAGAAGAAAAGAAAAAAAAAGCAGGCACGTCAAATAGTCAGCAGCACTGACGCCCCAGTGGTAAATGTGCACATGCAGATAGCCAATGTAACAGGGATGTTTATACATCCGTACATATATATATGTATGTATCTATGGAAATGGACAATTGGATATTGTATATTGGTATTAAAAATGAAATATAAGTTATTCGCATACTAAATATGATTATTATATATTGTGTAGTACAAATGCAGAATTATTTTAATAATTTACAATAATATAATTCAAGTTTAGGATATGAAGTAGTATAAATAATACAAATGTTACGATGTAAAAAAATTGAAACACTCAGATCTGTCAAATTCCGATTCATTGTACATAGTAGCTTATTTCAGTGATGCCAATTGGCAATTGGGCTTCTTGCCGTTTACTATTGTACACATTTTTGAGTTCATGCGCGCACGCTCTCGCTCTCATATGTATGCGTGCGCCTTTTGGCAGATACACACTCTCACACATGTGCATTTACTTCTACAGTGTAAGCTCTACACTAAGAACACAGTCAGCACATCGGATGTCCGTGTTGTGCAGGCAACTAATTCATGGCTATGGCGTGTCGTGCTAGCGAGATATCACTGTATCACATATACGTATTTCTATGCATATGTGTGTATGACGCGATGTATATATACACCAAAACACTTACACATATACACATATACACAACAGTTGTGCGTCGCGTACGTGCGAGCACGTCATAAGCAAAAGCAAAACGCAAAGCATGGCGCTGACGACGCTGTGACGACGGGGCATGGCAATGGGCATGTCGTGCAAAAGGGGCGCGTTTCGTGTTGGGGGTTGAAACGAGAGCAGCGACCATTGCTCCAGTACACTAGCGTTGCGTGTATGTATACCATTTGTACAGGCACATATATGTATGTATGTACGTACATATATACATATTTATCTATAAATATATATCCATGAATGTATACATACATATGTAAATGTACATGGGCTAGCGTATACATACGAAATTGTGGCACAATCACATGCTACATACATACAAACGTTCGTGTATCGATACACAAATGTAGACCTTGAATACGTAACGGCGCGTCGTTGTCTCTGCCGACGTCGCTGCTACGTCACGTCAGTGGCGCTCGCAATTGCAGCGGCAGAGCCTGTTAATGATTGCAGTAAATTGCATTGACAGTGGCGCAGCTGCAGTTGCTACTGCTGCACCGAATGACGTATAGCATGATGACTACATTACGCATTTTTAAACCGTTATGCTAGCAAGCAATGACTACAGCATGCGTCTGTGCGTGTGTGTGTGTGCGAGAAAAACTGTAGCTAATTAGCGCAAGCAGCTGATTTCGTCAGCGAACAGCTGACTTAACAGCAGCTGTTAAGTAGCAGCTTGAAAAATGGCAACGTTGCAGCGCTGCCAAGAACGACCAGCAGCGCAGCGCTGTTACGCTTCAGCCCATATAATATATGCATGCATACATATGTATGTATATACGAATTTCTAGCATACATTTTACATGCATATGTAAGGCGCGAGCGTGGTTGAGTGTGTGTGTGCGTTCCATTTTATGACCAGGAAACGTTTGCATTGCGCATGTACGTAACTGTATGTACGTATGTATATATGTGTATATATGCCACGCCTCCTACTTCTAATGTTTTGTATGCATGTATAACAATTGTCCTGGGCTGTTGGCCCGGCCAACTAAATACATGCATATATATGTGTGTATGTATATGCATGTATACATACACTAATATCGATCCGTCTTCCGACCATGGTCTGGGACAAATTCCACGATGGATACAACCTGTCGTATTGCCCTTTATTTTGTGTGTATCCAACATTGTTAGGCTGCGAGGCTTCCTGGAAGCAACAATGCCAAAGAAAGAAAAAAACGAAAAAAGAAAAAGAGAAACAGAGCCCGCCTGTTCCGCATCCCCATTCCCACAATTTCCCATCCCGTAGCATTACGGCCGTAGTGCAGGCGAGTGAACTAAGTGCACTTGAAACACTCAACCGGCAGAGCTAACTCAATTTAATAGCAATTAACCATTATACTGTTATACGCCAGTTCTCAGATCTCTCAATTTTGCTCTATTGACAAGCGGAAGAAATTTAACCGGAACACGGAAAACCGTAAAAAGCTCTATTTCTATGTTCTATGGTAATTATATCTATGGGATTTTCTGCATTCGCTCAGTCGACATTCGTAGTTCTGCCTGTATAAGCTTTTGAATAATATCTAATAGATATTTATGCATGTGTATCCAAAAAGTCCCTTCAAGTTTTATGAATGCTTTGTAATGCTGTTAGCTTCTAGACTCAGCTAATAGAGTATAGTCAGAACTTCCATATAGACTTTAAATATTTAAGGAACTTAGAACTTGGCTGTTCCTGGCAAGCATTAATCCATTTTGAAATAGAGGTGCCTATACTCCAGAAATAATCTATAATCCAACCCCTTTAAGAAAAACCATTTGCTGTGTAGGGTTTTGATCAAAATCAATTGTATTTTAAAACAATAATTATTAACTCTGCATACAAAAATATACGCGTTGTATATGCATTCGATATATATATATATATGTACATATATCTGGTAATATTATAGTAGTATAACTAAATTTATAAAGTATTTGATTTATATATTTATATATACATATATATTGCTTGAATTATTTAGAAGCGCACATCGAGGCAATATAGCTGTTATAACCATTCGTATAACAGCTAAGCAACTTTTCACATACATATATATATACATCTACATGAATCAGTTATTGGAGGGCTGTGGTGGGGGCGTGGCATGTTTGCATAATTCATTTTGTAAGCGTTTTTTTTTTTTTGTTTGCCTAGTTATATAAAGTATAATAGAGCGTATAACAGTTTTTGTTTTGTTTTAACAGCATATACATGTGTATGTGTGTGTATATATGTCTATGTGTGTGTCTGTATAACAGTTAGCACTGTGCTACTTATGAACTAATGCCGCATTGAGCAAATTGCAAATTCTTGTATAACACATACACGTAGTACAGTTAAACATTTATATAAATATAAAGTAAACGAGCATAAGTTAGACTTTCAATTTCTCGATCGCTACATATATATAGACACACATATAACATATGTATGTATAACAGTAAGTAGTACAGTTTTTGTGTATGTTCTTTTTAATGTTTTTAGTTCGTATTAGTATTTATAGGAGGGTATAGTTTATCAAATTTGTTTTTGTTGATTTTTTAATATATAATAAATTAGATTTAAGCACTAACATGGAACATAGATATATATATGTATATAGATCTATATATACATATATGTATGTATGTTTGTATGTGTATAAAAAAAATATTAGTTTTCGTCTTTTTTCACTTGTCAGCATTTTGACCCAACCTAACACAGATCTCGACTCATATACTATATACCAGTTGGTTCTTCTTCTTGCTCCTCTCTTCGCCTCCTTTCTCTGTTGTCATCTCTTTCGCGCTTGGTGGGCACATGGCACTAGTTTCTCTCATTCCATCTCTTTTCGATTCGTTTTCGTTATTGGATTTGTCATACTTTTTTTTTTTTTTTTTTTTTTTTTAATTTATTATTATTATTATTATTATTTTTATATATATCTATATATTTTGGGGAACTTTTGTTAATTCGAATACCCTGTAAACTTATACAACGTTTTTTGTTTTTGTAAATATTGCAACATCTTCAGATTATTCACTTTAACAGGCACTTAATCTTAAATGTATACAGAGATATATATCTATATAAGTTATATATATATATAAAAAAAATTATAAATATATATATATATATTGATTATTTGAACAAAAAAATAAAATACTAATGCTGTATAACAGTTGTTATATATAAAAAAAAAATGTATATATATATATATTGAGCATTACTGTTATATTGTGTATAAATGTTAATTGTTATAGCTGCGGCTGCTATGCTATTCAAGCTGTATAACAGTTCTAGATTAGTTGCACAGTTATCGGGCAAGCTTGGACACTCTTTCTCTCTCTATCTCTCTTTCACTGTCTTTAGCACCCTTGGGTGCCTTTTGCTTCCTCTCTCTCTCTCTCTCGTTCTCCTATTACTACTCTTCGAACAGTTTTTTGGGGGCGTGGCAACTGTCGTCGCTGCGCTGCCGAGATGGCAACGCCGTTTCGCTTCGTTTTTTTCTGTTTCGTCTGCTTCGATTTCGATTACTCGTTTTGATTTTTTAAAAATTTGCTTTCGTGTTATCGATGCAATGCATGTGGGAATGTTTGCAACTGTGGAATGTCGTGTATAACAGTTTGTGGAAATGATGATTTGGTGATTCGCTGCTGCTGCTCCTGTGTATCGCTTTTTATGTTGATGTGTATAACACATTAGTGGCGCACTATTAGGCCATCATAGCTGCGTATAACAGTTGTTGGAATGAGTTGGTGTTGCTGTCTCTGCTGTGTACATATTGTGTATAATAGAGCACTTAACACTCGCATATAACAGCAACTGAAAGCGGCATATAAAAGTTGTAGCTGCTGTTGCTGTTGTGTATAACAGTTTTGATTTATGGTAATTATGGGTTCTTCAAACATGTGCTTCAATGTTGATGCATGTAACAGTGATTAGTGCATAACCGACGTGTATAACAGTTTCATTTGTTGTTTTATAGTTGCCATTGTTCTGGTACTGTACTGGTGTATAGCAGCCGCTGTGTATAACAGTTTTCACAGTTTGTTTATCAATTTCTGCACTACTGGTGTATAACAGCCGTGATGTATTACAGTTTTGTATTGCTTTCAAGCCGCAGCACAGCTAACGTCCACTTAGCACACGTGTATAACAGTTAACAGCGCGTATTAAAGTGCGTTCGCACTGGCGGTGGGGGCGGTGCTCGACGTCGACGATCCACATTCAAGCTATTGCCCGCCGCCGCCGTTGCACCGACCACCGCTCGACCGTGTCCGTGTCCGTGGCCGTGGGCGTGGCCATTGCTGTTGCCTGTCAGCGCTGCAGCTGCTGCTGCTGCCGCCTCCTCGCGCAGCTTCTGCTTCTGGTCGGTGAGGCGAGCGCCCAGCCGATGCACCTTCTCCGGACTGAGAATGCTGAGGCGTGTGCTCTTCGACAGCTGCTGTGGTGCAGACGAGACTGTGTGGGTTAGAAGAAGATGCCAAGATTTAGATACAGATTCACTATATACGTGGATATGGATGGATCTATAGCTATGTGACAGATGTGATGGGACAGATGAAAGTCATATTTATTAGTAATCGTTGATGGAAAACTGTTATAATTGAAAGCTGTTATAATGCGTTTTGTGCTTTGACATAATAGGTTCTTGATCCATTCAGTCTTTATTCCTTCCGTTCGGTTTTTCTGGAACTAGTAATACTATTAAAAAGAATCGTTTTGAATCAAGAATTATATATATATCCATGGTTTTATATCATTCCCTTGATTATCACTTTAATCTACTCTCTATGTAGGCTCTCTCTACTACATCTGTTGCCAACTTGTTAGACATTTGATTCTCTGTTTAATACTAAGCTCAAGAGCAATGGCGAATTATAAAGAAAAAGCATTATATACCCATTTCCTATTTTTAATGGGTTCAGGGTATAAAAATACCTATTACAAACTGACATACATTTGCTCCCCCCCGATCTATGTACTTTAAATATATTTTTGAGACTGGTATTCCGAGACACGCTTTAAACTAGAGATATGTCTAGATGTTGCTATGGATGTTAATGCTTACCACTCTATAGCTCCTCAATATCTGGGGAGACCTATGATAAGCTAAGTAGTTATCAGTTCTAAGCGAAAAACTGTTGATTTTGCATAAGAAAATGTCATGATTTAAAGCTATGTAGGGAAGATGAGGTATCATGTATATTCAGATATATATAGAACTGTATATACAACTATAATTAACAACAGATTCGTTCAAGTACTCAGCTCAAAACAGGGAGATCTATGCTCTAATTTAAGCCTGCTCTGAATTCTAAACGAAAAACTATGGATATTTGTAAAAAGACATACTTTTCTCTCGAGCTATACGGATTTTTACTACATATACATACTATATATAGAGCTTTTATGGTAAGCTAGGCAGATATATTCCTTCAGTTAAGCTTTCAGCTTGCTCTAAGTTGTTGCGAATCCTAGGAGCGCAGATTTTGTTCTGAGATCATATGAATTTGTTGAGCCTTAGAGATGTTGGCCTAATGGGATATTTAACATAGCCTAGATCTAGATAGTAAATAGCTGACTAGCTAGCATTTAGTTAAGCTCAAAGCTCTCGATAGTCGAAAGCTATTGACCAGTGCTGTGGGAGGCTGTTGCTTAGTTTTTCTAGTTTTGTTGAATACAATCTATTTAAAGGTCTCTAGGGGAACAGTACGGTACATTCGTTTGATCTATTTGACTCTAAGCTCTCTTGTGGAACAGCGGCGCCATTGTGTTAGCCTGGGTCTATCGTGGCACTCAAGGGGCCATCCGCTTCTGAATGGCATGCTCTAATGGATTTACCGTGATTGTGGCTCTGGCGCTGTGCCGTCGCTGCTGTATGGCGCTGGGCGAGATGTTTGCCCGGTGAGCCCGGTCGGTGGCGAGTGGGCGAGGCTCCATTGCTGTTGCTGCTATTGTTGTTGCTGTTGCTGCTATTGCTGCTGCTGTTGTTGTTGTTGTTGGCTATGGCTGTTGCAGATTTGTGTGGCTTTGTGGCTTTGCTGACGGGCTGAGCGGCACGGCGCTGCCAAGTGGCTGACAGTGGCAGCGTCAGCTTGTGCTTCTTGGCCAGGCAATCCGCTGACGTTGCTGCAGTTGTTGCTGCTCCTGTTGCTGCTGTTATTGCTGTTGGTGTTGCTCCTGCTACTCCTGCTGCTCCTGCTACTCCTGCTGCTGGTGCTGTGGCTGGCTGTTCGGCTGCTTTGCTGCGCTTGGCGACTGTTGCTGGCTTCGCTGCTATCGCCAGCTGCTCGAAGGACCCGGCGTGCTGCAGGCGTGGCTGCTGCGCCGGCAGCTGGCGCCGCCCAAAGATGGGCGTCTGATTGATGCGCTGAGTGCTGCGTTGCTTGGCTGCTGCGGCTGCAGCTGCCGTTGAGCTGCTGCCATTGAGGGATGCCTCGTGCTCGAGCCGCTGGAACATTTTCAGTGCCACCGGCGGCGTCTTGAAGAAGTGGCGCATCGAGTGCTGCGACTGGCTGAAGTTGCGGCGATTCGCCTCCTCCAGGTGCTCGAACTTGCTGCGGCACTGATGCAGCCGCGTGCGCATATCCTCGAAGGCCAACTGATGCACGAGCGGCACGGCGGGCAGCGGCGGCGGTGTGGGCGGCGCCTCTGGCGGCGGCGTCACCGTCGGCGTCGGCGTCACATTCACCTCGTGGTAGTTGAGACTCGTATCGCAGCTGGAGTCGACATCGGAATAGTTATTCAGGTCCCGCACATCGTTCAGCTGCAGCTCAGCCCCGGGACGCAGGTCCACCAGGTAGCCCTTCTCGCCAAATGGACGGCATTTCTTCAGCGCCTGCTTCAGCGCTCGCTCCGTGGATGTCGTCTCCGGCGTTAAGCCACGCAGCTGCGGCTGTGCGCCCAGGAAACGCTGCCGGCGCCGGGCCCGCATGCTGTCGCGCAGCCGTTCGCCACTCGGCGAGAAATCCTTGCCCAAATGGGGAGACTTGGGTATGTCATGGGTGCGCATTACGACGTTCTCCATTAGCTCCACATTCTCCTTCTCCTCCACCTCATTGGCCCGACTGGCTTGAATCGCTTGCTCCTGCTGCTGTTGTTGCTGCTCCTGCTGCTGTTGCTGCTGCTGCTGCTGCTGTTGCTGCTGTTGCTGCTGTGGTGCTGTCTCGGCCATCGTTAGATTGTCGAGGCTGCGCTGCGATGTCGGCGACAGCGCATCCTCGGAACTGATGTAGCTGTCCTGAAAGTTCTCGATTTCGTCCAGCAGACGCGCCGGCGGCTGTTGCTGTGCGTCCAAGTGCTGTCGCAGCTGCTCCAGCCACACGTACAACGTCTCAAAGCATGGACGCATATCCGGATTCAGATCACAGCAGACAAAGGCCACCTTGACGAAGGCCTCCGGGCACTGGGCGCAGAACTTTTCGCGAAACTCCTGCTGGTTCAAGCTGAAGTCCGAGTTGCGTGGCATATAATCCGGATCGGCTTCCACACGGCCAATTATCTGTGAGGAGAGAGAGGGAGAGGGCAGCAGCATTAGTTGGTGTTCCAGCAACGTTTAGGAAGAGCGAGACAGAATCATTTTTAGGGTAGAGCTAAGCTAAGTAACGTATAGTATGCCAAGCAGCTATATATGGCTAATAGCCAGTAAAACGTTTACGAATGCATCAATAGTAAGGCATTGATAGACTACAGGCCTTAGAAGTAAAGAAAGCTGGCGATAATCTGGAGAATGCTCAGATTGATGACATATAATATAGAAAAACGAGTGAAACGTTACAGATTACAGAGCAAAGAAAGCTCTGAAGAACAAAGACGCCAGCAGAAAATGAAGAAAGAAGAGAGACAGAGAGAAAGAGCAACTGCAGTCAGTGAAACGTTTGCGAAGACAGCACAAAGCGGAATGCAACACCATATAGGCATGTCTATCACCTAGTGTATGGAAAGCAATTAGATATATTCACTATATGCTCCGATATTGACTCACCTCGCAGAGCATGATGCCGAAGGAGAAGACATCAACTTTCTCATCGTACTTGAGGCCCTTCATCATTTCGGGCGCCATCCAATAGGGATTGCCAACCACCGTGTAGCGCTGCCGGCGCTGTCGGCTCTTGCTGCGCCGCAGCGTGCCGCTGGGCGACATGGCACTGGCATCGATGGAGCCCGAGTTGGAGCTGGCGGTGGAGCCGGCACCGGCACCGGGACCGGTGCCAGCGCCGGGCAGGCGTGGCGCATCGACACTGCGCGCCAGGCCGAAGTCGGCAACGATCACCGATTGATCCTCGCGCACGAGACAATTCATCGAATTGAGATCACGATGGATGATGTTCATCGAATGCAGATAGCTCATGCCGCAGGCGATATCCCTGGCCAGGCAGACGCGCTGCGACCAGCTGAGCACGCGACTCGAGTCGTGGATCAGCTCCTTGAGGCAGCCGCCGGCCACATACTCCGTGACCATGTGCAGCTTCTTGTCCTTGTAGAGCACGCCGATGAACTTGAGCACATGCCGATGGTCGAGCAGCCGGAGCACGGCGACCTCCTTGATGAAATTGCGCTGCGCCTCCTCGTCGGCGCGATGCAGCTCCTTGAGGACCATCAGCTCGCCGGTGAGCCGATGCGTCACCTTAAACACCTTGCCAAAGAAGCCCTCGCCCAGCTTCTCGCCCATCACCAGGTCGGAGGCGCGGAAGATGCGCTGCGGCTTCTGGACGACGCGACAGCTCTGCGTGCGCGACAAATCGTATAGCTGTGGATGCGCCGAGTGCTGCTGCGCCGTGTGCTGTTCGTCCAGCAGTTTCGAGAGGCTCGAGCAGCGCTCCTTCTCCTTCAGCTGCGACGACAGCTGCTCCGGTGGATGTTGTTGCTGCTGCTGCTGCTGCTGCGACGGCGGCGCTTGCTGCTGCTGCTGCGACTGTTGTGGCACAAGTGATTTGCTGCTTTGCAGCGATTGCAACGTTTGCTGTCGCATCTTGCGCACCTTGCCGCTGGGCTCGGTGGCCGCTGCCTTGTACAGGCGCTCCCGGCCACGGCCACCGACCTCAACACTGGAGGCGGACGTGCTCAGGGGCAGGATCAGAGTCGAGGCGGAGCTGGCGCGCTGGATGTCCGCTTGGCTGCAGCTGCGACACACCTGCACCGGATCGTGCTCCACCGTTAGCTGCAGCATCTTCTCATTGCTGCGTATCAGCTTGTCGATCTGATCCACAGACGAGTTGCTGACGGGCGTGCCATTGACCTCCAGTATCCGATCGCCGATATGCAAATTCGTGAGATTCACATCGATCCTAAAAAGCACGCGCAGAGTGATTGGATTAATGAGCGTTCACTGCAAGGGGCCGCTTCAGGGATATTCTTGTGGATTCGTATTGGGTATTTTGGGGTTCTTGGTTTACCTACATATATGAAGCACAACAACGATCCGCCACCGAGGTAAGCAGGGAGAAGGCGTATTTGCCCATGCGACCATAAAATTTACAAATTAAGCTTGATAAGCGAGACACAGTGTAATTCAAAAAGAGACAGAGACAGAGACACACACAAACAGAGCGAGAGAGAGAGAGAGAGAGAGAGAGAGAAAAGAGAGAGAGAGAGTAGGAAAGTAAAACCAACACCAGGCATTAAAATATTGCTAACAAATTTCAATTACAAATTAATAGTTCAAGTAAAAGCACTCAAAGCAGCTGTTTTTTTTCCAAAAGCTTTTTCTTGTTTTGTGCAAAGCACATTGTAGCTTTTTAAGCTAAAGCTGCTTTAAATGCTTTCATTGACAAAAAAAAAAACTCTTAGTGAGCATATAAACTATGTACTTTACTGTTAGAGCTGATTATAAAGGCTTTTTGTTTTTGACAGATTCTTAGCACAGAAGCAAATTATTAGAAGAACTTTTTCCTAAATTTTTTTAGTTTTTAGTATGTAGTATCAAGTAAATCAAAATTAGATTAGAGCCTCTACGACAATAATATGTTTCTATATCAAGCACCTTTATCTTGAGAGTTTACATAGTTTCATTCTTATTTGAGTTTCATTTTTTTTCGAAAACTTCTAACAGACAGGCAACAATTACTTTTTAGATACTATCTAATTCATAATATATATGATAATAATACTATCGAAACATTTCAATCTAAAAAAGTTCGTTTGCTAAATTGTAAATTTACAAAATAAATTAATATGAATTCATTCAGATTTTTTTTTTTAATTTGCCCTTAATCATTAGTATATATTTTTTAGTTTCAGCTAGTTTCTTGGATTAATCCTTTAGAGCTTTTACATTTTTTAGTATTTTAGAAAAAAGCTTTTGGATTAATTTGCATTGACAAATTTTGCTTATTATGATTCAAGTGTGATTTTTTACTTTATATACCAGCTGTTTTATTTGGTTATTTTTTTTTTAGTATTGAAAGCTCGTTTTTAATGCATATATAACTAACTACCTTAACTAATTTGGGTTATTGTAATTATTATTTTTTTCTATTATGTGAGATGATCATCTTTGATCATTTGCTATTTGCATAAATATAGCTTTTAGTTTTAAACAATATTTTTTTAGTATTAAAAGCTTGTGTTATTCTATTTTATATGCTACTAAATACGTAAGGAATTTCTATTGCTTTATACGTTGTTTAGCCATTTCTATTTTGGTTGGCTACTTACTCGGTTATCCGCACAGTGGGACAACCATCGTCCAAGGCTCCACCGTCCACACGCAGACCGGGCGTTGCATCCTTGGGTATCTCCACCAGGCGTATGGAGTGCATCGGCTTGCCTGCATTTGTGATACGTGCCCGAGCATCGAGGGGTAGGCATTTGCCATAGCAGAGGCCGCAATAGAGCTTGGAGCGTTCGACCAAGGCGTAGGACTCGCCCTCGCCAATGAATGAGCCGCAGGCGGCACAGCAGAAGCATTCCGGATGAAATTTATGCTCGCCGGCAACCATCACGGGTCCCGTTATAACCGCCGTGCACTGCTGACAGGCGTCGCCGAAACGGGCATAATAATCCTCGCGGCAATAGAGCAGGTTCTCACGCTCAAAATACCAGCTATGCAAGTGGGAGTCGCAAACGGAGCAGCGAAAACAATCGCAGTGCCATTGCTGGCCGAGTGCCATCACTATCGGCTCATCGTTGTGATTGTTGGCGATCAGCGGGCAGAGGCAACTGGCGCAAGCTGGCAGCGCAGCCGCCGCTGTCGCCGCCACCGCTGTGCGCTGTTGTTGTGCTTGTTCTTTTTGTTGATGCATGGAAATGTATGTGTGTGTAATGTGAATGTGTGTATGTATGCGTCGCTTGCTGGTTAAAGAGAAGAGGGAGAGAGGGAGAGAGAGAGAGAGCATATGAGAGCACAATGATGATGATGAGAGCAATGTTTGTTTGTGCAACGATCTGGCAAGCCTTTGTTTACTGAACCGGTTTTGCAAATGAACTACTACAACACACACTGCACATAACTGCGCCGCTGGAGCTGGGTGCAAATCAAGTCGAACTACTTATCAACTAATCCGAACATGATGTCATTTAGCCGGCATATTACATTGAATATTGATTTAATATCTACACAAATACACAATAACCGCCACACATTATTCACAGCATCTATGCAGATCACGTGACCGTACGGAACTAGTTCAATGGATCTGTAGCGCGCAACTCTATGGGAATTCCAAATGCGCTTGGGGGTGGGAAACCTATTGTTATTGCCAGCATTGACCCTGAGAAATGGTGTTGTGACTGACTCTTGCCCAACTTATGACTGCATGTGTTTTTAACAATAGTATCAGTGCTTAATATAACTAATGAAGCAAGCAGTAGCAGCTGACGCAGCTGTGTTGTTATGCACATATAATTTAAAGAGAAAAACAAAAAAAAAAAACACACACACACACACACATAATATGACGAATGCACAAACACAAACAAAAACATAACATGCACACACACACGCGCGCAAAAAACAGTTGACATGTTGAACGAAATGTGTGTGGGGGAACGGGAACAACGACATCAGCATTAGCAAATGGCAAAGCCTGTGCTATTGTTGTTAAAGTTGTTGTTGCATTCTTACTAATAGTTGTTACTGCCAAAACTATACACATGACACACACATGTACGCGCGCGCACATACAAAACAATACACACACTAACACACTTACATAATTTTATCTTATATTTTGATGCTGTTGGCTAATGCATATCGCAAATTTTGGTGCATTGCGTTCTCACACCATTTTCCACAAGCGTTTGAACGTTTGGCCACTTCAATTACTCCACACAGTTCGAAAATAAAAAACAAATGCATTTGTTTAAAAAAAAAAACCAAAATGAGACTAGCGTTGTGTGTATAGTGCGACCGCGCTCGACTAAATCCGAAAATCTCAAAGACCGTTAATACCAAAACAAACAACGCGATAAATACCATAGAAATACCAGACGCTATTTTAACGGCTCGAGCTTAGTTTCGCAAAAAGTTAAATTTTTATTTAATTTTTTATCTGTGTTTTTGTATATTTTTCTAACAAACAACTGACAAATTATAATCGACTTGCTTTATGTACATTGAAAATAATGCATTACGGTTTGGTTTTTTAACATGAACAGCAGTCGTTCGGCCTATTTAACTTATCGAATTTGTGATTTTTGTTTTTTAAATTTAAATGTAAATCTCTCAAACAATTAAATAAATTAAAAAAATATTGTATGTACAGGGGAATTATATAGATACATATCTATATATATGTCGTTATGTTATTGTACTGTATTCTTTGTCGTCTCGACGTTTGGGGAATTTTCGCTAATTGGCGGCTCCAGGATCTGCGCCTGGTCGAGGATCTGCTCCTGGTTCTCGCGCCGCTCCTGCTGACGCACTAGCTCAAAGTACAGGCCACGCTTGGCCATCAGCTCATCATGCTTGCCCGTCTGCAGGGAGAGAGATATATATATATATATGTTTCTAGGAAAACAGAATCCTTCTTCGACTCACCTCCACAACGCGTCCCTGATCCATGACCACAATCAGATCCGCATTGCGTATCGTGGACAGCCTGTGTGCTATCACTAGGGTGGTGCGATTCTGCACGGCAGTGTCTAGGGCCTTTTGCACCTCCGACTCGCTGGTGGCGTCCAGCGCACTCGTCGCTTCGTCCAGGATGAGGATGCGCGGATTCTTGACCAGCGCCCGGGCGATGGCAATGCGCTGCCTCTGGCCCCCACTCAGCTGGGTGCCGCGCTCGCCCACGTGCGTGGCATAGCCATCGGGCAGGCTGGTGACGAAGTCGTGCGACTGGGCCAGCTTGGATGCATCGAAGACATCCGTTTCACTGGCGTCCGGCTTGCCGTAGCGCACATTCTCCAGGATGCTGGTGCCGAAGAGAATGGGCTGCTGCTCAATGAATCCCAGCACATTGGCCCGCAGCCAATAGGGCGAGATGTCGGAGAGCTTGTAGCCGTCCAGCTTGATGTTGCCTGAGGTAGGTTCGTAGAAGCGCTCGAGGAGAGCGGCGATGGTGGACTTGCCCGAGCCGCTGGCGCCGACCAGGGCGACCGTCTGGCCGGGTCGCAGCGTCAGGTTGAAGTCCTTCAGCACCAGCTGCAGAGCGGGCAAGAGAATTCCATATTAGAATCAGCTGCAGCTTTGGATATGCCCACTACTTACATGATCCGGTCGCATGGGATAGGCGAAGCAGACGTTCTCGAAGCGAATCTCGCCGTGCAGCCGCTCCTCGGGTATGACGTAGCCACGCAACAGCTCCACCTTGGGCTGCAGCGAGAGGAACTCAAAGACGCGGCTGCCCGCCGTCAGGCCGCGTATCATGGTGCCCAGCAGGATGGAGCCCTGCGAGAGCGAGCGCTGGACGCCCTGCGAGGCGACCAGGAAGGCCATGAGAGCGCCCGGCGTCAGGCTCTCTGTGGACATCAGGTGGCCGCCCATGAAGAGCGTCGACAGGACGAGGGTGTTCAGGAAGAAGTTGGTCAGGCCCTGGAAGACGGCGATGCCGTAGCCCAGCTCCTGGGCGAGACGCGCCGCCTCGTTCGTCTCCTGCTCGAAGAGCTCCATCTCTCGGTACTCGCAGGCGCTGGACCGCACCGTGCGTATGTTGGACAGAGCCTCCTCGCAGACGCCAGTGGCACGTTCCGCCTAAGGAATGGAGATTACATATAGAGAATTGACAAGGAGAACTCTCTGCATCAGCATCGACTCACCTGCGCCTGCGAGCTCTTGCTGAGGGAGCGCAGCTTGCGTCCCAGGTACGACATGAAGAGGACCACGCAGGGCACGCTGGCCAGGGCGATGGCCGCCATGTGGGGCGATATCATGAACAGGGAGACGCTGCCGCCGATCAGCTGGGCGCCGCTCCTCAGGCCGTGGGCGACGAAATGCTTGAAGGAGGTCTTGAAGTCCTGCACGTCGGCGGTGAGGCGGTTCACCAGCTCACCCGTGCGGTTCTCGTCGAAGAACGAGATGTCCTGCAGCACGATTTGCTTGAACAGATCCTGGCGCATCCGCGCGGCCATCTGCTCGCCCACGCGACTCAGCAGGTAGATGTAGACGAAGGTGAAGCCCGACTGGAGCATGTAGAGACTCAGCAGATTGCTGGCCGGCTTGCTGACGTCCTTCACGAAGGAGTTGTTGATCGGGTCCATCACATAGGTGTTGGCGTAGCGCGCCAGCCTATTGACCAGATCCCCCAGCAGATTGGGAATCCGGATGTTTATGAAGGCCACGATTAGGGCTGCCTGCAATGACAGCGATGAAATGTGGATGCACTGCAGCGAGAGCAGCGGCAGTACTTACCAATATTGCACCGATCAGCTCCCAGGTGTGCGGCTCCAGATATGTCCACAGGCGTTTCCAGTCAAAGTTCTTATCCGTCTCCTGCTGCAGCGTGTGCTGTATGACGCCGGCCAGCCGATTGGCCTCGCAGTGGGCCAGCGCTCGACTCGTCCACCAGCTGCGCGCTGCCACGCCTACGCCCAAACAGCCGCCACCCCAGAGCAAGGCGCGCGCCGTCTGGACTTTGGCGGCCGCCGGCCGTGGCCCGGCCCATTGATGCTGGCGCATCAGCCTGGTGGCATTCTGGAGCCGTGCGCCGAGCGGCGACTGCGGCAGATGCTGCAGCAGGCTCCGACTGGCGGGGCACCCAGAGCGACGAGTTGACGATGAGGGAGCAGCAGTAGCAGCAGCGACAACGATAGAAAAACAACATTTGATGACATAATCAAGCAGCAAAAAGGGCAAAAACTTTATCATCAAACGAAACGCGCGCGCGTTTCTGCTAGAGAGGGGAGTGGACGACGGGTGCAGGGGAGGCGTGATGAGGGCGTCTGGGGCAAGGCTGTGTGTGAAGTGAGGAGCGTGTGGAGCAAGTGAGCCGCTGCTCTCCACTTGGCTGCGTTACCTGATCAAGTCGCTGCGATTGCAGTTGCTGAGGAGTAGGCGCAGCATCTGTAGCTTCTATTTGTCGCACTTAACTTAAAAGTAATTAACTATATACGCAAGCGCTTAAGCATTTAACTAACTTGTTGGTTAACCTTAACAATAATAATAATACGCACACACATGCTCACACCTACATGCACACACACACACACACACACACACACACTCAGGGAGATATGCGAACGCACGCACACATAACATGTTTACGGGTCAGGTGTACGCTGGACAAATGCTAATTGGCATGCATTAAATACTACATTTTAGTATATTTTGCAAGAAGTTTAGTACATTAAACCTGTTTGCTTAATACGAAAATACTGATAATACTTCAATAATGTAGTATTTTATTTGATATTTAATACATTTGTTTACTATGCACTATAGCTGCCAGCTACGGTACTGATAAAAATTTGAAAATATTTGAATTAAACTATTTTAACCCTCTACAAGTTAATAAACTATATTCAATGCTCAGGTGTATAGAAAAAATTGTATTGCTTCAAATACATTTTAACTATATACAGTGTATTAGGCATTCAATCAGTTTCCATTTCTGAATCATCATCATCATCATCATCGTCGTCATCATCGTCATCGGAGCACTCCTCGTCGGAGCTGCTACTCTCATCATCATCAATCCAGTCGTGCGCCCTCTGATTGCCCGCTATCAGGACTTTCCATTGCTCCAGCTTGTGCAGATCCAGGGCATAGAAATCATTCAAAGTATGCTGCTTCTCATCCTCCTCGTAGAGCCCGCCGAACAGATATAGAATGCCCTTGCAGACGCACAGGCCCGGATTCATGCGTGGCGACGGCACATCTGTGCGCCTCGGTGGGCCAAACAGACTGGGTATCTTGGACACATAGGGCGTGGCAGCTTGACTGGAGCCAGGACCGCCCACGGTCACAGTGAAAATGCCATCTGTGCTGGTGGTGACCGTCTTCTCGGCAGCTGGCACCGCATCGCCTGCCATTTCTACATCGTGCACCTTGTCCTTATCCGGCTTGGAGCTGCCTTTGGTCTTGGCTGCGACTTCCAGCAGGCGCCACACCTGCGAGCTCATATCGAAGGCGAGCAGCTCATCCCCGAATTGCCCTTGCACATTCTCGTCATCCTCGTTGACGTCCATGACGCCGCCAAAGCAATACGCTTTGCCATTTGCTGCAACGGTGCATCCAACGCTATTGCGCGGCTTCGGACGATAGCCGCCGGGCTTGACAGTGCTCCACTTGAACTTGTTGCCGTTGCCAGACTCTGGAAGGAAAAGGAAATCAAATTAGATAAGCAACAGTAGATATCAGATAAGCCGTACTGTCCACATCCAGCATAAACATGTCTGTGTGCGTTATGCCTCGATCCAGATCCTTTTTCATTGAGGTCCTCGCATAGCCACCCCATATGTAGATCTTGCCGTCCGGTGCGGCGGCCATGCAGCAGCCGGAGCGCACAGCCGGCACGATCGGGCCCGCAACTTCAATCTTCAGCCATTCGTATGTCTCCAGCGAGAAGACGTGCACATCGTTGTAGTAGTGATAGGATTGATTGTTATCGTGAAAGCCGCCAAAGACGAAGAGACGCTTCTTGGAAACGACCATGCGATGTCCGCTGCGGGCACTGGGTCCGTTCGGTGCATTGATCTTGGACCACTGTCGCGTCTTTAGGCTGAGTGTCCAGAGATCCTTGTAATGGTAGAATTGCAGCTGTGACGGACTGGCGTGCTCCCCACCAAAAAGCTGAAAAACCATCAAAATGTATGAAATCAAGAAACCAATTTGAATCTCTTCGAATCCCTTACCCAGAGCTGGCCGCCATCGTTAGCTGTGGCAACCATTTGGTGGCCATTGCGTGGCGTTGGGCCCGACGGCGAGCGCAGTTGCTTCCACTCGTTGCGCGGTATATTATAAAAGTACAAGTCGTTATAAATGCAAACTTTAGCTCCATTATACAGCTCGCCGCCAAAGAGAATGAGCTCCTCTTTTTCGGGATGCGCTACTAGCGAGAAATTGGAGCGAGGCGTTGGTGCTTCGCATACATTTTCGGTTATGGTCGTTAAGCTCTGCTCTTGGGCTTCCAGTTTTTTAACAATATCCGCAATATCCGCCTAAAAAAAATAATTAAAAATTTTGTATATAAACTCTTGTTGAGAATTTAAAACGTGCTTTACCTCCCCGAGCTTCTCAAGCATTTTCTTTTGTTTGGCTGCCAGTTTTTTATCCGTCTTCATGGCTGTTTTTTCGGCACCCTTGCCTTTCTTCTTGTTCTTATCCTTTTTACCCATTTCGATTAAATTATAAATACAAATACAACTTGAATTTTTGAAGATTGAAAGCACGTTTTAGTGACCATATACGCTTAACTTCAGAATACACCGTTTATGCGCAAGTCTATGGTATTTCACATCTAAAATTTGGTATTTTAAAAGTAACATACATATGGTCTCATCGCTCTGGGGACTTGTTAACAGCTGTTGTGAATCAGTCTGCGTTGACATATGTTAAAAGAGTCAATTTTGCGTTTACAGGCTGCGTTAACAGATATTAGTTAGGAAAGTTAGTCTATCGCTATCAGACTGGCAACGCTTGCGAAAAGTCGAGTTGGCATTTGTACTCGAAAAATTCCATTTAAATACAAAATAACCAAACTGCAGAAAATTATTAAATAAGTAACACACTGGCGTAATTGAGGAAAAGTTTCGTGTAAGTGTTTATAGCGACAATACTATACCAATTACGACAAACTAACAAGTAAAGAAAAAATGAAAGGCCCAGGATTGACACCTTGTGTTTGTGTTGATGTGCTTATGAAGTGGGGCGCAAGTGTATGTGTGTGCATGTGTGTGTGTGCACTTTTCTTTCGGTCCATGTACGACGGTGTAGCTGTTGTTATTTTTATAAATATGATGGACGGCTACTTATCGGCTAATCAGCTGCTTATGCCTAATTATGCGAAACGGTTGTCTGCAAGTGCCAGCAACCCCACCGCCCGGGCCACTTGGAGCAATTACATTTAAGCGGTGACAGCCCTGTGTTTGTGTGTGTGTGTGTGCGTACGTCTATTTGTTTTTGCAGTTTGACTGAAACTTTGACGGCTCTCTGGCAGCATAGCTCTCTCGCTCTTTCTGTCTCTCTCTCTTTCTATCTGCCAACCACTGCTCCAATTTGGCTATTTCACTTTTGACTTTACGTTGATGTTGAAAAAGGCAAAAATTTACAAAATTTTGTACAACATACAGTTATTAAATATTATAAAAATGCAAGTGTAAATAATATATACACATACATGTGCAAAACACCGCAGAGCGAATAAAAAACCTGCTGTGTCAAGCAGTACGAAAACGACAACAACAAATACCAGAGCGAAACCGTGGTAATAAAAACGACGAAAAATTTTGTCAGTGTGAGTGCGTGCTCGTGTGTGTGCGTGTCTGTTGGTGCTTCAAGCGGGTATAGGGGTGCGCGTATCAAACGTCCACGTAAACTTTTAGCTCAACGTGGTTATTGTTGTTTTTGCTACTGTTACTGCAGCCATTGTGATCGTTGGATTATACAAAAAGAAAAAAAAAAGCTGCACAACAACAATACAAGAGAAATAATTAACAAGACATGAGCAAAGCAATGCACGGCATAACAAATTCACTAATACACATATACTTGATTGGTTCTCTTTTCTAATTTGTTGTTGTCAAAAGCCTAACTAATTTGCAATTTGCCCCTAGACTAAAGTCGCCTGCCAGCAACAGTAATTAGCAATTGTGATCTGCAAATAACAATTAAGGCGATGTAAGCGCAGGTATTGAAGCATTCGATTGCGTTATCCTAACGTGAAATGAGCACAGCTGTCACCGAAAAGCTGTGTGGCAGCTTTGCTCAATCCAACACACACGCACATACGCAAATAACTGTGAATACTCAATTGGGATTAAAATGGAGAGAGAAAAATAATAATAATAACAGAAAGGCCTGGCCGTTGCCAGCTATTTAACATTGCGCTTAAAAAGTTGTTTAGCACTAAATTTGACCAAACGTTTAACTGTTTTTCTTTCTGTTGCGATTTCGTTTCTTGCAGTTTTCCCAGCTAACGCACTGCGACAACATGTTGCACAACAATGCCAGCTGGCTGCCACCGCCGCAACAACGGCATCGTCTGCAGCAACAACAGCAACAGCAACAACAGCAAATGCAACAGCAACAACAATTGCAGCAGCAGGCATCTCAAATACATCACAATCAGTCGCCGTCACAGTCGCAGCCTCTGCCTCAGCCGCAGCCGCAGCCGCAGCTTTATGCCAGCCAAATGTTTCAACAACAGCTGCCACAGCCCGGCCAACAAGCATTTTGGCCAGAACAGGAACAACAGTCGTCGTCGCTCAGCTATAACAATTACTTTGCCGGCACAGCACAACCCAAGCCACTGAGTTATGGATCACCTGCAACAGTTCCTACTCCTGTTTCTGCTCCCGCTCCAGCAACAGCACCAGCACCTGCTGTTCCACTGACCTATGCACAGCCCGATATGATGTCCGCTCAACAACAATATTATCAACCATCACCATTGGTGCAGCAGCAGCCGGAGCCACAGATACAGCCAGCTGCCGAGTTCTTTGATAATAATAATAGTGGCAAAAATGATGGATGGGGTGATTGGGGCGATTGGAATGATAATGTCAACAACAATAGCAATAACAACATTAGCAACATTAGCAACACTAACAACAACAACAGCGGCATTAATAGCCACAATGAGGTGTCGCCGGTCGCTAACATTGTGGAGGATTCCTTTAATGTGCAAGGCCAGAGCACCTGGCACACCTTTAGTAATAACCTAAACACCAGCAACAACCTCAATACCAGCAATACCAACAACAACAACAATAATAATAATACTGAACCAAGCAAATCATTGGAATTGCCGCCTTTGCTATCGCCCTCCGCGGAGCAACTGTCGCCCGTGTCGGAGCCCGAACTGAATGCCATTGTGCCCCCACAAGCTTTCCAAAATCAGCCACCTGCAGCTTCTTCAGTGGCAGGACCTCCAGTAGCAGCAGCCCCTCCAGTGACTGCTCCTCCACCGGGCAATCCTCCATCGGCCGCTCCTCCTGTTGCCGCGACGCCTGTGCTGCCACCGCCTTCAATGGACTCGGCAGCCGGAAATCCTTTCAAGCGTTCCGGTGGACTAAGCCAGCGCGTGAATATATTGGCCACACCAGGTGCATCGGCAGCGGCAGCACCAGCACCAACTCCAATTGTGCCCATGCCAGCTGCAGCGCCTGTACAGATGCTGATGCCGGAACCAAGCCAGCCGGAGCAGCCGTATGAGAATCAGGAGGTACTGCTAGCAGCGCCCAATGACGAGCGTGCACAATACCTGCAGACGAGTCATCTGTCTGAGCAGCACGAGGAGGAGGCCAACGAGGGCAACTGGGAGGCGGATGGACTGTTGCCGCCGCCAGGCCTGTCGCGACTTGTGCTTGGACAGCCGGAGCTGGTGGAGCAGCAACGTCTGGTCACTGGCACCGAGCAGCCAGCCAGTCATGTGGCCAATGCGCTGCATATGTCCGACCGCCAAGCCGATGGCGAGGACACCTCCGAGGGTGAGCAGCCGATGCGTACTGATCTCTTCCACCCGCAGCAGCAACAACAGCAGCAGCTGCAGCAACAACATCAGCAGCACCAGCAACAGCAACAACAACAGCAACAGATGCAGACATCAGCGCATCGCGTAGTAACGGGCGTGGAGACGCACGCCCAAGCCGTGGTGCTGTCCGGAGAGCAACGTGAGGTGGTGCTTGACGGCGAGAATCTGGAGGATCAGCGGCCAGTGCAGCCGCCAGCGTCGCTGACAGTGCCGACAACAACAGCAACTGGTGGAGCAGTAGGAGGAGTGGGTACAGGTGCATCGGGATCAGCCGCTGCAATTGAACTGGATTCGGAAATACATCAAACACATCACATTAGCAACGAGGACAATGAGACGAGCGTGCAGCAGCAGTTGCAACAACAGCAACTGTTGCTCGAGAAGAAGCAGCAGCAACATGCACGTGGCAAGCCCCGTCCGGCGGCCTCGCTCGATCTGGAGTCGGAGGATGAGTCCGAGGATGAGTGGCTGCTAAGTGATAGGCATGACCTGCCGCCGCGACGTCAGACGGATGAGCGGAGCATGCGCAGCTTGCGCAGCAATCGCCGCCATTATAGCAGCAACAACACGAGCAACAACTACGAAGGCGAAACAGAGGATTCGGCACGTGCTGTGGGCGGCGGCGGTGCCGGCGGAGGCCCAGCTGGCCACAACGAGAGCAACAGCAGCAGCAAATCGGGCCGTGATATGAAGCGACGCAGCCGTGATGCGGATCAGCATCGCAGACATGAGCCGGAGCGCAGTGGCAGAGAGCGCAGCGACAGAGAACGGGAGCGGGAACGAGAGCGTGAACGTGAACGTGAACGTGAACGGGAACGGGAACGTGAAAGGGAACGCGAAAGAGAGCGTGATCGCCATACGTGGCGACGCGATGATACGATGTATCGAATGTCGCGGTATAGCAACAACAACAGCAACTACGACGGCGAGTCGGACGCAGCCGTCCAGGCGGCAGCCAGCGATGGCGGCGGCGGAGGTGGCGGCAGCGCTGCCGGCAGCGGCACAGGCGGACGCAAAAGCAAGGGAAGCCGTCACAGCCGCAGCGCTGTGGCCGCCGACGACGACTACGATGACTATGAGATGCGATCGATGCCACGCGGCGGCAGTCACTATCGCTCGAGGCGCTCGGAGAAGCAGGCCCCCTCCTCGCAGCAGGACAAACAGCGCAGCAGCCGGCGCAGCCATGATGGCGGCGAGCGAGGGCGTCACTCGCATCACGCGGACTGGCAGCAGCAGCAATGGGATGCGCGCACCTACGAGGGCTACCGCAACAAGAGCTCGCGCAACAGCGACCTCAAGAAGGAGTCGGTCAATGGCAGCAGCAAGCGACGCAATTACGAACAGTATGCAAATCCAACGGCCGGCTACGATCCGTTCAGCATCTACGAGCAGATGTCGTGTGATCCGCGCGCCTATATGGACATGTACACCAAGTTGTATGGCCAGATGATGATGAGCGCTGCGGTGAATGCGGGCGCCGCATCGAAGGCAGCAAAGCATCCGATGCACGATCAGCTGATCGGTATGGATCCCAGGGCTTTTGTGGACCGCACCGGCGCTGGCTCTGCTGCCGGCGTTGGCAACGAGGACGCGCTCAGTGAGCGGGAAAGGTAAGTGCCAGGGACAAACCTGAATCCAATGTCAATCTCAATCCATGCGCGCCAACTTTGCAGATTGAGCAGTTGATCCAGTAGGCTAGTTCACCAGTTGCTTGGTTTATCTATTTTAATCCATGGCTCTGCACTAGTTAATGCCACTAATTCCATCAAAATGGGCTAAACTCCCAATAGAATATCAACTAAATAGGCACAGAAACGTATTGAAATGAAACACTTTCACAAATACTTTAACTAAGCACTTATTAATATATATTAATCATGTCGAAACACATCCAAAGTGGTTAGCAATAACCGTGGGACCAATTGGGAATGAAACACTCGAGTGGTTTTTTCAAAGCAGCAGTAGCCTTTGTAGCTTTTGGAACGATTGGAAATGAAATGCCTGTATAAATATGACTGAAATTCTAGGCTACATAGTTGTAAGGGGGTATGGGAACGATTAGGAAATAAACACTTGTCTACCTGTCCTTTATTAGTTCATACTCGACTGGAACGACTGGAAATGAAACACTTAAGTCATATCTACACTTGTCGCAAAGCAATGCAGATAGTTAAAGCTCACTCAGGAACGTTCGGAATGGAACAGTGTCATTTAATTAGGCCTGAAACATAGTAACAAAATTATAATAATAACACTCTCTTAAAAACAGTTTTTCGTTTGGCTTTAGTTCTTCGTATTGTTTCATTCCAACGTTCTTCAGATGTAAGATTGTTAGGATCAAGCTAGTATTAGTTGTGTATGAATATTTATGTAGAGTAGAGTAGAATTCATCAACTCTCGTCTGCAGAGTTGCGTTTTTTTGGTCAGAGTAAATGAAATGCTCGTTACTCGTTACTCTTGAATGGTTATTCGTTACTCGTTACTCGTTACTTTAACTTTTTTGTTATCCTAATTCTCTTACAACTCCTTGGGCATGTTGTCGTAGCTACCTTTACTTACCTCAACTCAATTCACCTCACTTACTCGCTGAGCTCCTTTTATTTTGGTGCTCTCGCTGCTTATATTTGTTTAGTTTCTGTGGCTTATTCGTTATGTTACTTAACATTATGTTGTCTATCATTGAGCTAACAGCGGCGCGGCCAAGAAATTTCCCTCCAAATTCCCAGCGTAAATAATTATGTATGTGTTATTCCCCAGATCCAACCAAAGCCAAACCAACTCGCTCGCTCGCTCTCTCGCTCTCGCTCTCTCTCTTTCTCCCATCCACTGTCACTCTCTCTCACTCCCTCACAGTAGTTCGTCGATTTTGCTCGCTGCGCTTTGTGTAACTCCCCCTAAAGAAGTACTACTCACTAGCATTCCAAGTACTGCTCGTTGCAGTTGTGCTGTCTTCTTCTACTAACAGCAACAAGAATAACAACCAACAACCAACAACAAGCAAATAATGTTTTTCGTTTCTAACAACAACTCGAACAACCACACACACACACACTCACACACACACACACACACACACACACACACACACACACACACACACACACACACACACACACACACACACAACAAAAACAACCAAACGCCGTCATGTGCTCCCTCTTTAGGTACACACACGCATACATAACACAAGCCAATGAATTCCATCGTCGTCGCCAACAACTGAATCTCTATCAGCAACAACAACAGCAGCAACAACAACAACAACAACAGCAACATGATTATTCGGATCTATTGAACAGCACACTAGGGGGCGATGACAGCGCCAGCCTCTATGGCAGCGATACACACAGCAACAATCGACATCTCAGGTTGGCTTCCTATGGCATCTCCAGCGCTCGTTCGTTAAGCAATTTGAACTGTGAGGATGCAACGATAGCCGGATATAAGCGTTATTATGCTGGCTCGGAATGCGGCGTCGATATCAGGTGGTCTCTACAAAAAACAAAAAACAAACCCAAAACTCTCGCTCGCTCTCTCTCTCTCTGTCTCTCTTTCTCTAACACTCATGCTATAAGCTCATCAAAGTAGAGAATGGAACAGCTGACTTTGGCATGCCAAAGTTTGAATACTCTTGCAGTGCTCTGAGAAGATTGATTATAAGCTATAGCTAGACTTCAATGGAGTTAGAGCCTAAAATATACCCGGAATAATCCACTAAAAATGGGAATTGTAAAATGAAGTAGAAGCAGTAATAGGCTTCCTATAGAATTCTCGATCAGAACAATGAAATCAAATCGAATCGATCGAGTGATTGGGTTAATTACCGCTCTCAGCACGTTTCAGGGTATACCTTTGTATCCTAATACCAAAGCGTCACTCAGTCTGAATATGATAACTCCCTATACAGTTAATTTGTTTATGAAACAAAATGCCGAATATGTTGGGCGTGAACACTTCAAGGCAAACGAGTTGACTTTCAACTAGATACACAAACACGATTCTTTCAAATAGAACTGGGCTGTAAGACCCAATCATATTTGCACATGTATAAACAAAAACTTGGTACAAGTTTCTCTATACCCGTTGCAAGAGTATCAGATTAATAAAACATCACAAGCGAAATTCGAAATTCATCGTAGACTGTGCTACTTCAAAAAACATGCCTTCAACATGGTTCCAAAGTTCGTCATACATCCACACATAAATAACACATCTTCTACATCTATCTTTGCCATTATAGTGCTGCCTATCTATTTGTCCTCTGCTTAGAGTTTTCTTCTATTCCAAATTTGTGCTTTATTGACTTGAAATTTTCGGGAAATTTCAGCTTTTGGCTGTTAGCTGCGCTGCTTAGACATCAACTATGTAAATATCTTTCCCTATATACACACATCATAACATTTGGGAATATCAACACAAATATTTTTCGATCGGAAGTGATGAATAGGGCTTCGAGTGAAGGCTTTTTTTCTAGATGTTCTCAACTCTGTTAATGTTAATGTGACGCTGTTAATGTTGGCTTTCGCCTGTTGCTGTTACCAATGCTTGCAATAAACTCATAGAAGAGACTATGCATTTATTTATGCTGTGTTTGATAACTTAAAGTACTATTAACAGCGCTCCATTAACAGTTAACAGCAGCTTAACAGTTAACATGCAGAGCTTAGTTTATAATCAGCTTAAGCATGGACTTAACATAGCGAAGACTCTGTTAGCTTAGCAGCAGTCTAAGAGGCAAAAGAGAAGCTTAGGAAATTCATTGCATTGAGAATAAGCTCTTTGGAAAGTAATTGTAAATATACAAATATTTAAGCTATGTATATACAGTCTTTTAACTACAGTCTGCTAAATATTGTGTTGAGACCCTCCAAGGTTTTCTTCAGCTAAATTATGAGACGTTAGTTATCATCTCTCTCTCTCTCTGTCTCTGTCTCTATCCTTCTCTCTTGATAGATACCTAACTTTTACTATAGGAAAGTTTTCTCATTTATCAGATGGTGGTCTACCTGGTACAGGTATACACTCTCCGTGTATATACTTATGTCTTGACAATCTATCTAATTTGTTTATGGTGTTTGCTTATCATCAAAGCGCGCATTGTTTCAGCTTTTAAGATAAGGAGTAATTGGGGGAAATAGAAATAAAACACTGTCAACTCTTTTTATCCGCTGTCAAGCCTAGCCGTTACACTGCCACGCCCCTTCTGCATGTATTTTTGCTTTGGAATTCTACTTTTGGATTATTGATTTATTTGATTTATGATTTTCGGATAATGCCTGTGGCTGTTCTCTATGAAACTCCCCCCGCCCCGCCCATCACAATTCCCGACTAATCTTGTAACTCTTTATGCACATCGCTCAGAGCTGCTGTTGGTGGTGCAACAACAACGACTCTCGACAGCAATGCGGACGCCACGGCAATGGGCAACGCGAGCGTGGCGCGTCCGCCGCGACGTCGCACACCGCTGCTGCACAATCAGCCGCACCTGGTGGCCAACTACTCGATGAGCGTGCTGCTGCGCGTGCGCCCCATGTACGCTGGACCCGGACGTTTGCGCAACGAGGTGGATGTGGCAGCGCCCAGGATCAAGGATGCCACCAGCAGTCTGCTGCGCGCCTATCCCGGCCCGTTGCAGGGTCGCAAGCTGCACAAGGACAAGATCATCAGCTTCTGCAAGGAGCAGATTCGCTTGGGCCCGTCGCGCTCCTGCAGCATTCTGTACGCCACACAGACAAAGCCGCTGGGCAGCGTGGACAAATATCGTGCCTCGCACGCACTCATGTGGAATCTACTCATACTGCTGCTGCGACAGAATGGGGTAAGTCGAGCGCTTGACCTTTGCCGCAAACTTAACAGCGTGTTAACATCGTTGCGTCTCTTTCCAGGTCATTGCCGACACGGATGTGGGCGATCTGCTGCTGGAGAATCAGCGCGAATACCCGTATGCACCGGAAGCTGAGGCGGATGCCGAATCAGCGGACACCGACTCAGCGGATGCTGACTCAGCGGCTGTGCGTATCGTGGGAGATCGTAGCGAGACTGCCAATGACTCAGATGGCGAGGCTGTGACAAAAGCTCCGGCTGCTGCAGCTGCTGCTGGGGCTGCGGAGACTGAACAGGATGCTGATGCAGATGCGGCTGCCACAGAGGCGCCCATGTCGGAGCAAGCTGCCACCGACAAGTTTCGCAGCTTTGTGCTGCGCGGCAACGTCGAGGAGGCGCTGCAATGGGCCACCGATCACAACCTGTGGACGCACGCCTTCTTCTTGGCCCTCTACGAGGATCGCTATGCCCTCACAGATGTGGCACAAAAGTTTCTCAGTCGCGCCATCAAAGCGAACGACCCGCTCCAGACGCTCTATCAGATGAAGAGCTGCCATACGCCCGCCTGCGTTAGCCAGCTGCGCGACGAGCAATGGGGCGACTGGCGTTCGCATCTCTCCATCCTGGTGACCAATAAATCGCGTCAGCCCGAATACGATCGCAGCTCGGTGGTTGCTCTGGGCGATACGCTCTTTCAGCGCGGCGACATCTATGCGGCGCACTTCTGCTATCTAGTTGCACAGGAGGAGTTCGGACGTTACGACAGCGGTGCCACGGAACTGACCACGCTGACAGCCAATGTGCCCAGGTGAGCAGACAGTAGGAGTAGATCAAGCTGAGAAATCGATCAAATAATCGATTGTTATCTGTATCTATTGCTAGTCTTCCAGTGTGTGAGTGATCCAAAGCACATTTGTAAGACTCTCAAATCAAGTTGAATCTAAAAGTTTATAGAACTGCTCCATCTCTCTTTATTGATGAGTGTCATCAACAGATATCGATTAGCAAACTTTGATCGATTAAAATGCTTGCTAGAGGACATCTTCTACTTACAAGGGCATCACTCACTTCATTCATTCAATTATGCTTTCCATTTGCAGGCTCATCTTGCTGGGCGCCTCACACTACAAGCCGTTCAATGAGTTTGCCAGCAACGAGGCAATCATCATGACGGAGATCTACGAGTACGCACGCTCGCTGTTCGATAACAAGTTCAGCATTGTGAACTTCCAGCACTACAAATTCCTGTTGGCCACACGCATCCTGGACTATGGGCAGCATTTCCGCTGCACCAACTATCTGGAGCAGATCGCCAATCACATTGAGCTCAAGCCGGATAGCTATGATGCGGACTTTATAAAACGCGTAAGCTCCATAAATATTTATATACACATATACATATAGTAATGTGTGATATTCTGGTTTAGGTTTGCGGGCTGGCTGAGCGCTTGCGCTATTATGATCCCATACTGATCAATCGTGTGTCCTTTGCAAGTCCAACGAATGCAACTAATGGCGGTCAGGCGGCGCCACAAGTCGGTGCTCCTGAGGAAAAGGAATGGCTGCGCCAGCTGCGCGCGCTGGCTGATCAGGTGAGTTGTGGCAGCTGTTGCATATTCGGCAATTGTTGACGGATTCATTTGCAGCAGCCACAAGAGCAACAACATCTACAGCAGCAGCAACAGCAAGCGGATATTGATCAGCAATTCGTGGACTTGAATAAGCAAATGCGCGAGCTGAACATGCAATATGAGGACACCATGCAGCGCGAGCAGGAGGCGCAGCAGGAGCACCAGCAACAGCAGCAACATCAGCCGGAATACTATGAGCAATCGGCTCAAGTGCAGCCGAGTCACGAGCAAGCGCTCACCGATAGCTATGCGCCGCCTTTGTACTACGATCCGAATGCAGCACAGCAACAGCAACAGCAACAGCAGCAGCAGCAACAACAGCAGCAGCAACACCTGTATGATCCCTCACAGCAACAGTTGCAGCCGGGCGCTGTCTATGGGCACATTGAGACTGCAACCGAGGCATATGGCAGCCACAATACGCCAGCCTATGATGCACAGCCAGCAGCAACATCTGGCTACGATTATTGGCCCGGGGATGGACAGCAGCCGTTTGGCGATGAGGTAGGTGCATCAGCAGCAGCCGCAACGGCAGCAGCAGTAGCGGCAACAGTTGCGTCGCAGTTTTAGTTACAAATTTTGCTCAGAGCCCATCCATTCTTCTTCTTCTTGGTTATAAATTTTGTGCATTTTCTATGATTATACAAATTTATTTAGATTTGATCTTGCTGTTGTAGTTGGCATTAAGTTTATGATTTCTTTGATGTAGTTTTATTTTGGAAATTGTTCATAATTTTGTTAAGAGCGACAATTGTAAAAGCGCGCTGCATGCAATACTCAATCAGCAATCTGTTGCTAATGTTTCTAATCACACACAAACACTTGGAATGCAGCTGGCGCAGATGGAGAGCAATGACCAAATTGCTGACGACAGCAACAACATGAGTAGCAGCAATCTAGACAATAGCAACAATATTGTAGCAGCAGCAGCAGCAGCAGCAACAGCAGCTGAAACTGTAGCTGTAGCTGAAGCTGAAACAGATGCTGATGTGGAGCAAACACAGCAGCAACAATTGCAGCTGCCGCAGCCAAGTGCTTACAGCAGCAGCAGCAGCAGCAGCAAGAGCAGCAGCAGCAACATGATGGACCATAGCAACAATCGCTTTAAACACAATGCCTTAAAGCTGCACGCTGCTGGCAATGGCAAGCAAATGCATTGCGCCAGCCATGACCAGGACAAGAGCAAACAATTGTCACGCAAATTGCAATTTGGCAACAGCAGCAGCAACAACAACCACAACAACAATATTGCGGAAATGAGTGCAACAACAACAGCGAAGCCATTTAATTTGAATGATGTAAGTAGCATTATAGCCATAAATAAACATAATGCTACCAGCAACAGCATCAGTAGAAGCAACAGCAGCAGCAACAGCAGCAGCAGCAATTGTGCAACAGCAACCAGCAAAGCCACATTAACAACAATTGCTAGTCGCGTGAATAGTTTTCAAAATAGCAACAGCAATTTGATAAATGTTGTGCCCAAAACATTAACCACGCCCACGCGCTTCATACCAGCCAAGCCGGTGTTAGCCAAGCCAGCCACAACAACGACAACAGCAGCAAGCACAGTAGCAGCAACAACAACAGCGTCAGTGTCAGCAGCAGCAGCGGCAGCAGCAACAGGCGGTGTTAAGCGCGTCAACTTTGATCTGCCCACGACAATTGATGAGGCAGCGGAGCAAGACTGCGATATCGATAACGCTAATGATAACGATAGCGATAACAGCAAGAGCTACAGCCTAGCGCTGACAAAACACAGCACGATCAACAACTATAGCCTAAGCAAAAGCACCAGCAGCAGCAGCAGCGGCGGCAGAAGCAAATCTCATATTGTATTCAATGGAACCTATCCAATTGATATGCCATTGAGCGCTGCTCAACAGCAGCAGCAGCAGCAGCAGCAGCGCAGCAGCTACGATGCTGAGGCGAATGCAGATCGCAGTGAGATGCTGCGCTATCGATATATGATGCACGATTATGTTATAAACGAGGATGCCGAGGGTGAGGAGCTGGCCGAGGATGACTATGATGATGATGATGATGTGGACGAGGACGACGATGATGATGATGATGAGGACGATGATGGCTATGATGAATACGATGATTATTATGTGCTGCAGCGCAACGATGATTTTCTCAGCAAATTGGGCATCATCAAACGGCGACAACGCCACCAGCAGCAGCAGCAGGAGCAGCATCACCGACAACAACATCGTCAGCAACAGCCATCAGCAGCGACTGCCAAAACAGCATCAGTAACAGCAGCTCTGGTGGCTGCAACGCCTCAGCATGTTTGGTCCATGCAGGAGCTAATTGCCAATCCGGCCATACCGATCAACTATAAGAAAATGTGCACCGAAGTGGAGCAGAGTTTGAGCAAATTCGAAGCCTATTTGGATGCTAAAAAGCAGACAACAACAACTACAACAACAACAGCAACACCCAGAATGGGCGTGGTACGCACATTCGACATCGATGCCCCCACCGATGATGGCAAAGGCGGCGCCGGCTTGGCTCTTAGCACTAAGAAACAGTTATAAATCGCAATATGTAAAAGCAGTGCGCACAGCGTTGCCAGACTGCCAAAGTCAGAAGAAGAAAAGAACACGCTGCGCGCGTCGTTTGATTGCTGCTCGTGACAGCTTTTCCTATTCGCTCTCGCTCTCTTTCTCTTTCTCTCTCTCTCTCTCTAACTTTGTCTGTCTCTGTCTCTGTCGCTCGCCTTTTAAGTACCTGCGCGCAATTCAGAATCAAAGACATACATATGTACAACAGTTAACTGTAAAAATGGCACTCTGTGATTTTCATATGCAAACAAATAATGTTTAAGCAATATATTATACAGATACATATATACAAAACCAGATAACTGAATACAAAATTGTAAGCTTAAGCTATAGAAATATTTAATTGCAATTCGATGAGCGCCTGGTTTAAGTTTCTATTTTTGACTGCGCCAGTTGAGTAACTAAAATCTCATTCTATGTAGTTCACTAACTAGACATACCATCTATCTCTCTATCTACTGTCTATATATATATATATATATATATATATATATTTAAATATTAATATATTTATGTATGTGTGTTAATGCACTTTAACTAATTTCTTTGCTTTACGTTTGCCAAATAACCGAAACTAATCAACTGCCATTTCTCCAAATCCCCACCAAATCCAAAAAACAAACTCGAAAACTTTCCATGTCTGCAATAAAAAAATAAAAAAATCAATAAAAAAAAAAAACCAACAACAAATTATCAAAAACACCAACAACCACCACAACACTCGATCAACAGCAACATCAGCAAAGGCTGCCCACAATTTCGATGCCAAAATCAAAGAGTTACGATGACGACGATGGAGCTGTTACGGCCGGAAACTCCACGTCCGGCAATGCAACAGCAAAGACAGGCAAAGAGCAGCAGCAACAGCAACAAGCCGGAGCTGGCGGCTTGCCAGGGTAAGAATGCAGCAATGCAGCCAATCCCACGTAAAGCAAATCCTAATCCCTTTCATGCCTTGCAGCGGGCAGGGCAACCAGAACTCCGGCTGGTTTGGCGGGCTGTGGAACAAGTTTTCGCTGAAGCCCAAAAATCAAATGATCTTGCCGGACGACAAGAATCCGACAATTGTTTGGGATAAGGAGCGCAAGTGCTGGACAAACACTGAGGGCAATGCCGATGAGGCGGAATCATTTAAGCCGCCACCAAAGATGAGCGACATGGGCGCCACACCAGCACCAGCACCAGCGCCAGCACCAGCTCTCAATACTTTGGGCAATGTGCCAATGCCAATGGCGGCGCCAAATCTGCTGCCACAGCAGTCCATGACTGCACCCGAGCTGCCCAACAATGCGAATGTCTATGAGAATCAAGCGGAATACGATTACGGAGCTGGCTATCAGGAGACAATGTATGGAGGAGCACCCGCAGCAACAGCAGCCGAAATCCCTGCAATGCCTGCGCCAGCTGCCTCGCCGGCACATGGTCTAGCCACAGCTCCCGTTCCAGCAGCAACAGCAGCGGCAGCGGCAGCAGCAGGAGCAGCAACGGTGCCTGGTGGCTCGCAGCCAAAGCTTCAATCGAACATGTTCAAAATTAAACGCAATCGCAGTAGGTGTTGCAGCTAGCCAATGTTGTTGCCAATATTCATGAATTTGCATTGTTTTCATTGCAGCGCTGAAGAACTCCTACGTTGATGTATTCAATCCATCTGGTGCGCCCATCTCTGCAGCGCCACAGAATGTGCTGGCGCCAGCAATGGCGCCGGTTGCCGTGCCACAGGGCGGTTTCTTTGTGCCTGGCGCGATGCCAATGCAACAGCAGCAGCAGCAGCAACAACAACAACATCAACAGCCGCAGCAGCAGCCGCAGCAATAGCAATAGCAGCAATTGGAGTAGCGAATGAAAATGTTGTTAACAAACAATATAATATAATATAATATTATATATAATAATTCCCAAGTAATACGTAATCAACACAAGAGCTGAACAACAACAACAACATCGACAACGACACACAAACACGAGCAACAACAGAAAATACTTTCTTTTATAACTTTCTGCATGCTGGAAAGAACAGACGGATAAAACACGAGACAAATATAACAACTTGGCAGCTTCACTGCGTGTTTTTTTTGTTGTTTACATCTTAGTTTTTGTTTTTCGTTTTCTTCCTTCATCTGTCCTTACGAAACAAAAAAAAAAAAAAAAGGAAAACAAGCTGTAATTGTATGACTGTGTGCGTTTAGCGAAATTGATATCAAATTTATGTATGATTAGCAAAAAAAAAAAATATATATATATAAATGTAAATTTGTATTCCCCTCCTTATGTAAACGATTGGAATAAACCATTCAGCCACACCCCCTCCCCCACCCACGCAAGAAAATTGTTTGCTTAACTAAATATATATATATATATATATATTTATGTAATTACATAAATTAATTAATTCATTTCTCTCTTGTATGTTTGCATCATTTTTAGTCGTACGATTCTTAAATTCGATTCTTGATTTACGTTGATAGAAAAGGTAAACAACGCATGTACGTATTGTTGAATGAAAGAGAAGGAGTATGAAAAGAGCAGTTTCGAAATGTTTCAAAATATATATACATATTTTTAAGCAAAAGATTATGAAAGCAAAGAGAAAAATGGAAAGATTTAGTTGTTCAACTTTTTGCATTAATTCAATGTATAGATATATATATATATTGATATACATAATCCATATTTATCAAATATTCCATTTGCTTAAATTTTTTTTCTGTTTTTTTTTTTTTATTTTAATTTTTTTTTTGTATGCAGAAACAATGTTAATTTTTGATTGTTACGACTTTTTGTCTCTATGTGTTAATTATTATAATTTTTTGTGTAAAATCAGAATTAATTTAATTTTTAGTTACCTAAAAAAGAAAGAAAAAAAAAAAAAAAACAAACTGGTGCAGGCAAAAATAAAACAAATCGATTTAAAAATACAAATACAAAATGAAATTTATAACTTATATATACATACATATATATAAAAATTGAAATATATATATTTATGAATATTGTGCACTTATGTATGATGTACAAAAGCAACTAATTGGTATATCGTATATAATGCTATAATTAAAGAAATTGCATTATACAAACCCGAATTGTACACAAAGAGCTCACGTATGATTATGTCTATACAGATATATATAATCTTTATATATACATATGGGCAGAGCTAAAATTGACAGTTTATTCAAACCCCTAGAAGTCTTATTATTTAATTAGCCTATAAAAAAATAAAACAAAATAAATAAATTCATAAATAAATTTGAAATTCTGTGTTTGCCATTTTGAGTGTATTCCATCACATGTGTGGGAAAGGGATGCCAATAGAGGAAGATGGATTTTGCATAAAACAGTTCACATTTGAATTGGCGGAGCTAGATTTGCGCAGGGCTGCACAGCCTTACTAGCTTTTTGAGCAATTAACTCAGTTCATATTGCATAGGTTCCACTTCATGGGACTTGCAGTTCCTTCACTAAATCTGTAAAGCTCTTTTGTAACGTCATGCAAAGATCGACTCTATTAGCTAATCAAATTTAATTACACTTACTTATATAAAGCTAACATGTTTTCCCATAAAATAAATAATTCGTACGGTATTTTTTTTGGCTGCTCGAGTAACTCAGCTCAGTTCAGTTCATAGAAATAAATGCAATCTCCATTTTAACTTGGCCATGATTTTGAGCTAACCCTTTTCAAATTGAACGTCATTTCTATTTACAGAATAGATTTATAAAAATAAATCTATTGTACAATATTTATATTATGTGTATAATAATGTTAAACAGGGTATTTTCTATTTGTCACTCCTTTCACAACATTCGTTTTAGGTTAGTGACGAAATTTGTATAACTGTTTCTGCATGAATTTTGCAACATTTTGTAAGTCGTCCACAAAGTTAACTTAATCTTATGCTAATTGTTTAAACTGTTTGCTTATTAATTAATTGTCTACATTTTCATTAACACTAAGCTGCTCGTCGTCGCTGCTGCTGCTGCTGCTGCTCTCCGGGGAGTCGTCGACGCCAAAGCTATCTGCCAATGAGTAAAGGTCCAAGAGCTCGGGCAGCTGCTTCTTTGGCTTTTCTGGCTCTTCTGGCTCTGGTGGCTCAGCTGGCTCAGTTGGATCAGCTGCCTCAGTCTTGGAACGTTTCGCGGCCGTTGGTTGCGGATCAGTGCCAGCTGCCTCCTCTTCTTCTTCATCTGCAAAGATCGAAAGCTACAGCGATTCGCATTGAACAGGCCGAGTCGAAAACTTACCGCTATCAATCGCCTCAAGGCCAGCAGGTGGACGCTGTTCGTAGCTGATATATATGGTTGGATATTCGACAATTGTCTTGCCCGCCAGGTTCGAGCCGAGTGTCTTATAGGATGCGAGGGAGTAGCAGCGTTGGCCACTCCGCTTGACGCCCTCGGCACGCAGCCAGAGGCTGAGCTCGCCAATGCCAGCGGTCTGATGATGTTGCAACACTTTGCGGTGCCTGCTGGCCAAGTCATGCTGTATATCCAGATATTTTTCCAGCAATTGTTCGAGTGTTTGCTGTTCACTGCAGCGCTTTTCCACGAAGCGTGTCGGCGTCTCGCTATCCATATGAACAAACAGCCATTCGACTTGCCAGTAGATGCAGCGCTCCTTCCAGTGCAGGTACGTGCGGTTCTCCTTGTGCCGGCTGAAGTTGGCCAGCATGAATTGCAGACGTGTGCCGCGCTCTGCGGCTGCATTGCGCAGCCGATACAGTGGCAGAGGCAGCTGTCGCTGCTGCTGCGTATAGCGTTTGCACGGGTCCTTCTTGCGATGCTCGGCATAGCGGGTGCACTCCTCGAGGAAGCAGTAGTCGCTCATGAATTCACGCTCGGTCATTTCGCTCATGGGCATGAATTTGGTGCGATCCCGTTTGCCGTCGCACTCCAGCTCCCGCTTGTGGATCTGCACGCAAGTGAGGCAGCACGTTTTCACCTCGCATTTGGGGCAGGCGTAGCGCGCCGGTTGCCTGGCGCAGACCTCGCAGTTGCCCAGACGCGAAATCTGTCTGTGAGTGTGTGTGTTTGTGTGTGTAGACAATAGTATCATGAATTCAATTATATTTAATTTCGTATTTTATGGCACTTACCTAGATGCTGGCACATCCGTTGTTTCCGTCATGGTTTTTCTTATTATTGTTTACACGTGCGCGCACTCATACACGCACTCATGCTCACACGTACTCAAATACACACACACACACACACATACAGCAGCAAACGTAAACACAGCAAGCATTGAATTTATCGCAATTTTGTAGTTTTGCCATTCACACGCTCACACGTGCAGCGTGTGGAAAGTGTAAAAACGCGGTTTTCGCTTTCGGTTAAAAATAAATTCTAAATGTTTTCCATTTGTGAAACAAAAACTGTCGGCCTACGGTGACAGCGGTACCACTGTAAATGCTAGCTGCATTTAGCACGTTACAATTGTTATCATCATAAAAATTTGCTGTGAACATTAAAAAACAAAAAAATGTAAATACTACGAAACCGCGTGTATGCGCCTGTGTATGTGGGTATGTGTGTGTATGACTGTGTGCACATGTGTGCATGCTTTTTTGATGTTGCCACCTAACAAGTTTTTTTTGAAATGTATCGTTATCGCTAGTGCCGATATTAATTGTAAGCGATATTTATCCACTTGTTGTGAAATTGCGCCTTATCAATATATACGTTATCTTTGAATTTGTTTTGATTTTGCATGCATAGATCTTAATAAATGAAATATGTGTATGTGTAAATTTGTATGTCATCGTTGCATGTTCGATTAATAAATGACATTGATCTTATCTAATCTTTTCTTGGTTGGTCGCACACGCATTTATATTGTTTATATTATAAATTTGTCAATTCGCTGTTATTATTTGATCAATTATATATTTTAACGCAGAGCTTAACATTGATACCAAGAGAAGCACTGAGAGCGATAGAGAGAGCTTTAACATAGACAGAAAGAAAGAGAGAGAGAGAGCGTTAAACGTAATAGAATGCCATTGCGAAAGCCCCTTCGATCAGTACGAACAATAACGACGATCTGCCTGGATGTGGCATTACTGAACAGCACCAGACGGATGAACAGTACGATCAAATTGCGCAAGTTGGCCACAAAACCGCCCATACTGAAGGCACTGCCCAGACCAGCTGCCGGCATTAATGGCATTAATGGCTGCTCCCAGCCGCAGCCGGATCAGATGAAGTTAACATTCTCGGAACTCGTCTTCTCGGATCGTCGTAGGACGCTCACCGAGCAGGATGCCCGGGAGGAAGCCGAATACAATGTAAGTTTACTGCCTAACTGGGGTGCAGAGATCCCTTATTTGTTTCTTGTTGCTTCTAGGCTGACATTGAGCAGCTGAAGATTCTGCAGTCGAATCGGGAAAGCATCCAGAACTCGATTAACACTCGCTGCGATACGCTGGCAATTACATTGAAGTACCTGGAGCGGAGTGGCCTAACCTTAGAGGATGTGGAGAAGCTGTCTGTTATTCACGTAGCTGGCACCAAGGGCAAGGTACGTAGCTTCCGTCAACCCCTTTCACCCTGCCGCTTTTCCTGTTTGATAAACAATAGGAAATTAACACGAGGTGCTAAAAAAAAAAAAAAAACAAAAAAAACAAATCTAGATGCATGTTTGCTTGCTTTTATATATAAATTTATTTAAATAGTAGGAAATTGGCTTAAAAAGTTCATCAACTATTCAAAAACTGCATATATTTTTAGTTGACCAAAAGATTAGATAGGGCAAAATTTTCATTAAGCTAAGTATCTATTGATAAACTCTAAGCACTTAACACCTTTGAATTGATTCAAATTCCCAGCGGAATTCGATAAACATATTTTTTGTTTTGTTTTTAGATTTGTTATTGTATATTTTATAAAGATATATTCATATATTATTTTATGAAAAGAGCATTTTAAGTTTTCAGAATTTGACTTTCTGTAAATCAGAAATTAGAAATTCAAAGAGTTTCTTGACTTATAAACTACAAATTGTAAAATTGAATAAGTTTAATTCATAATTCATATAAAAAATATATATATGTATATGTATATTTTGTTTAGTATAATTATTTATAGAAAACGAAAGTTTGAAAAGTCTAGTTAGAAAAAAATATTGTATAATAATGAATTTGTTTCGATACTTAACAAATTTACTTGTAATACATTGCATGTTTTTATTTTTTTTTTTTTTTTATTTGTAATATTTTTAAAAGTTATTTATTTATTTTTTTTTTATTTATTTATTTATTTTTTTTTTTTCATATTTATTTTTTTTATGAAATATTTATTTATATACAAACATACACATGGACATATTTTCTCACAGTGCATGACAAGGCTTGATTAGCATGTTCATTGACAACTGAGAACCGAGAACTGAGAACTGATAGCTGATAGCTGATAAGTGAGAAGTGAGAAGTGAAAAGTGTTAATTGTGTATGTGAATAGCGAATGTACTGTGTGCTGGATTCGGCTTAGGGTATTTTAGTTGCTTTGATTCGATGCTGTCATGCTGAGTCATGCTGACTGACTTTGGTTTCATTTTAGGGCTCCACTTGTGCGCTGACCGAGTCGATACTGCGGCAGTATGGAGCACGGACGGGCTTCTACAGTTCGCCCCATTTGGTGTCCACGAACGAGCGCATACGGATCAATGGGGAGCCGCTGGCCAAGGCAAAGTTCACGCATTTCTTCAGGCTGGTCTACGATCGTCTGCTGTACGGGCGGGAGCATGACCGGGATATGCCGGCGTTCTTTATGTTCCTGACCATAGTCGGGTTCCATGTGTTCATCGCGGAGCGCGTGGATGTGGTGGTGCTGGAGGTGGGCATCGGCGGGGAGCTCGACTGCACGAACATTTTGCGCAATGTGCGCACGGCGGGCATTACATCCCTGTCCCTGGAGCATACACAAGTGCTGGGCAACACCATCAAGGAGATCGCCTGGCAGAAGGCGGGCATCATCAAGCCGGGCGCCCACGTCTATACGCACGTGACGCAGCCGGAGTGCCTGCAGGTGATACGCGAACGGGCAGCCGAAAAGCACGCCCAGCTCTTCGAGGTGCCCCAGGCCGAAGAGCTATTCGCCCTCAACCAGCGCTCCGACTACCTGAACAGCTGCAACGACTATGTTCGACTGAATGGCTGCCTGGCCATCGCGTTGGCCTACGACTGGCTGCGCCAGTCAACGGGTCGACTGCATCGCGACTATCCCCTCAACTGGCTGCAGCTCACCGACGAGGTGCTCCACGGCATCAGCCAGGCCAATTGGCCAGGTCGCTGCCAGCTGGTCAACTACGAGAATATGCGCATCCATCTCGACGGAGCTCACACAGTGGAGAGCATACGCGTCTGCTGCAACTGGTATCGGAAGAGCACCAAATCAAGGTAGGCCATATAGATCTTAGAGGAAATTATGGATGACATCAGAGGTAGTTGATATGTATACAGTGTGGGGCATAGACTATCCATACTTTATATACTATCTATTCTGGATATGCCTTATCATATCATGTCATGTTGCTATCTATATTTTACATACCACGAGTACTATCTATATACAGTAAAATCCGGTTATAACGACACTCAATGGACCGTCGCTATAACCGTATAAGTTTGCTCATAGAAATTCGTCTGGGAACCAGAATTTTCGTTGCTATAACCGTACAGACGCTATAAGCGGAGTAGTTATAACCGAATTCTATTGTATTTGCTTAAGCCCTATTTTGGACTCAGATCATCTGTACTATCCATGTCCTCTATGCTACTCATACCATCTATACTCTATCTACTATCTATTATAGCTATATAACTCTATCCACCCTTACAATCCTATTTTATCTATCCCTGCTTACCTACCTACCTTATCCATACTATCCTATGTTATCCGTACTATCGACACCAGCCATACCATCTATCGAGGCTATACTATCTACACTATATCTACTATCCACACGATCTATTCCATCCCATGCCATATTTACTATCCATACTACATCTATCTATCTTTCCTATCCGTACTATCCATGCTAATCCTACTATCTATACTTGCCATTTACCCTACAATGTCTATATTATCTGCACCAATAATGCTGTTAGTACGATCTGCCCATACTATTTCTTCTATCTACACCATTTATAAACAGTTCTCTATAATGATCTTTCTCTATTTGCAGTCGCAATCCAAGTATCTTGGTCTTTAATCGTACTGGCGATACGGATACAAAGGCCCTGCTGCAGGTGCTGCAGCAGTCGTGTAGGTTCGATATGGTCTGCTTTGTGCCCAATTTGTCCAGTGCCAAGGCCAATGATCCCAACCAGACTAGCGTCTGCTACAGTGATGAGGCACAGCGGGAGCGAGCCAGCCTGATCGCCGCCACCTGGCAGCAGCTGTGCGATGCTAATAAGCAGGTCAACCGTGGGCGAATGTATAATACGGTCTGGGATGCTTTCGTTGAGATGCGCACACGTTATCCGGCCCATATTGAGCTGGATGTGCTTATCACGGGATCCATTCATTTGTTGGGTGCTGCCATTTTGATGCTGGACGATTTCCATTCGGAGTCGAAGGCAACAAATGGCAGCACCTGAGTGAGAACACCTGAGTTGCACTGTAATTGAAAGCTATGTTTCTCTAGATTATAGACTAGATATTTAATCCAAGATAGTATAAATTTCTTTTTGTAAACATTTCCCCATAGGACTTGAAATCGGAGTTTATAACTAAATGGCCAAATGAAAAATTTCTTCCAATCTGTAACACTAAGGCACAGTTCCAATTTTCCCTATAACGTAATTATATGCTGTACATAGCGAACGAATATACAATACAACAATATATGACAAATATTTATTTGGTTTGCTTGTGCTTTGAATTGCCAAACAGGTGGTATTCGAAAGGTGAGCCATGCACATGCAGTCGAACAAATGTTCCACTTAAATTAAAAGCAATGTTCAATTGACGAATTTGATGTATCAATTCTCTTCCTTTGAATCTCACCCAATACTAAACCGTCGGCAATGCCCATTTAGACTAAGCACGTTAAAAAAAATATATATATTTAAAAAGAATCACCGACACCGACGGCAAAGCGCATTTGCGATGCGGACGTTAATTTCACGGCAGGCAACACTGGCTGAATGCGCGGCTGGCACCTGAGTGCGAGCTGCAGCAGGCTGT